ATGATACCATAATTATGACCCAGCCCAAGCAGTTCCTGTAAATATTTGTAGAGTTAAATGTAGATTGATAGACTTATATGGCACACACACACACAGGTAATGCGTTTATCCGGTATTACACATACGCTTGTGCACACAGACATAAACACAGACAACACAGCTCAACCCACGCACACACGCAAAGCATGTGTAGCAATTACAGCCAGTAGCCTTATTCGACTTGTGAACACAAAGGTCCCCTATATAGCCTTCAACAGGCTGGTTAGGACAGTTGTCGTTCGCATGCACCTATTAAGGCTTGCACCTTACACACAGCAACAGATACTCATTTTAATGGTGAGTTGACCTCGGGAAGGTCTCAGGACCTGTTTAGATATTCGTCACCGATGTTGTCTGAGCGGGAATTAAACTCAGGTCGCCAGTTTTACAGTGCAGTGCGGTAAATACCACTCTACAGCTCCCAACTGTTTGTGTGTGCACGTGCACATGTATGTGTGCACGTGCACATGTATGTGTGCATGTGTATACATGCATGCACAAAAATACAGGTAGCTACAAATGTTATTCTGATGTCCTGAAGCGTTTGTGATAATCGTGGTTTTCTTCCAGTTAAACATTTTCTGGCCTCATGTCTCACTCACGATAGGGGAAAACAGGGGTGGGGGTACCTGGGTTGTGGGTTGGGTTGGCATAGAGGTAGGGAGGGCCTATGAGCAGTGGCGGGATGTTAACTACCTTGCATGTTATACAGGAGATCGTGGGTTTGAGCTCAAACGCTGACGCCTGTATATTTGGAGTTTGCATGTTCTCCCCGTGGTCGTGTGGATTTTTGTTTGGGTCCTCCGATTTAGAAAAATGAGAATCCACTTTGTTGATCTTTCAGTTGTGGCCAGATCGTTTATAAAAAAAGAGCTATATAGTTCAGTGGGCCTTACCTGGTAAAATAATTATTAGTTTAGCTTTTAAGAGGGGAAATATTAGAGCAAGGAGGCAATTCACTTTGAAAGGCATGGCTGATGATTAAAATATTACAATCTTGTCGAGGTGTAGGTGGTGCTGGAGGAGAAGAGAGGCTGATCCTCCAAGACATTTGGTAGCTTTTAAAGCGCGTATTGGTGCACAACGTGCACCAATACCACTCTCAGTTGGGTGCGCTGCATGCCAAATCATAGGCTCTGCTGGAACATTTAATATTACATAGACTTCAAACACCAGGCCAGGGTCGGGGCCTTTGATACAGATGCCTGTTTAGAAGTGCAATACTGTAGGAGGTTGGAGTTCCTTGTCAAGCTGTGGTCAAACATCATTGCAGCACTGAGCGAGAGGCTGGATTCAAGCCCCAGCTCCCCAGTTGGGTAGGATGGCCGTCGCACCTCCGATTAGCTAGAAAAATGGGTAAAGACGCTCCGTGAGAAGGTGTTGAGAAGTCTCGACATTTTTTTTCCAGAGGCTGCCGCCACCACGAACGACGTGTCGAGAAAGGATGCCTCACTGTGCCCTTGACGCTGATCACACATCTGGCGTTCTCTCATTTAAACGCTGCCCCATAAAAAGGCACATGTAAAAATAATAATAGCCGACTGCTGCTGTTGCATTATTAATAATTACAGCTTATTTAGCGCCTTTCATGAATTTCTAAAGGCTGTTTACATCCGTGAACAATGGGTCGGTTTGGATAAGAAGTTGCTAAGTTATAAATAGGAGATACCTTCTGAAAGAGAAATGTTTTTAGCCAGGACTCCCTGACAGCCTTTGGCAGAGAGTCACACAGTCCGGGTGCCACAGAAGTAAAGGCTCAGAGATCGCCCATGAGACTTGAGCTTTGTTCTGGGGATGCAGAGGAGAGATCCTTAATTGTGTATCTATAGTTCAATGGTATTGTGCAATTTTATTGAGGTACTGTGTTGGCGTGGTCTCAGACTGTTTTGTTGTTTTTGCTGCATTGCTCAAGCTTGATAAATTTAGTGACTTTCTTACCTGTTTCTCTATTTTGCACTTCTATGTTGTAACTTGCTGACCTGCCCATACTGGACATGTGTGAAAAAGAACTTCATACCTTATCAGATTCCTCCTCCAGTCTAAATAACGATTCTGATTCTGATCCAAGTCCCGTCGAACTGCGTGTTCTTGTTGAAACGTAGGGGCGCAGCAAATCCCGAATGTACGGGGGGTAAATTAACTGTGTATCAGCACACAGCTCGTCAAGTTTATGTTGTTTAACCAGTTGAGAACTCGAGAAACCAGGATGGGCCTCATTTACACGAGTTGTGTGTGTCACCGAATCGACAAAAGCAAAAACAAAGTACAGCTCATGAGCGAAAGCCATTGAAATGAAAACAAAAGCATCGGCAGCAGTGCACATGGCGCCTGTCCTGCCTGTGTCCAGTACAGGCAGGAACCGATGTATTCGCAACGTTTTTGCAGTGCCAATGTCTCCCTCTTGACCAAGCGACTCAACCTTGCGAGTGTGCCCTGCTGTTCCCCCCCCCCCCGTTTGTTTGAGCTGTCACAGGGGAAGGTGGCCATTGGCAAATAACCAATTCTTTGCATCGCCTGGGGGTCGAAGTATTGAGTCAGAAATTACATTCGGGATTGCGTAATAAACCCAGCAGTGATTACCACAGGGTTCCCGTCACTTTGGAGACTTAACTGAATTTCCAGTGGGCATGGTGCCACACCGCTCTGAGAAGGGACCAATGGAGCAAGTGGCACGTACAGCCCAGCGTACACTCATCTCCAGTGGTGACTGTCGATTTCAAAGATGTTTTCTCCACTTCGGAATTTTCCACAGCCTTGATGGAGAGGTCTCACGCTTTAAAGTTATCATAGAAATGCTTGCGGTGAAGATGTCTGTGCCATGACCGTGCGTCGTTGTGTCCGTGACGGATGCGCCCGCCCTTTAGGCCCTCGTTCATGGCTGGTGTCTGCCATGAAGGAGGGCCATAGACTAATATGTCACCCTTATTTAGTCTTTTTCCTCTTTGGGTCTGTGCCATGGACTAATGTGCTCAGTATTTTGTTATCTTTCCGTGTGCACTGCTGGTTGTGCTGTATCACAAACACAAAAAGGTGCCCATTAGGGTTCGATCGTCTTGCGTTTATGTGCACTCTTCTTGGTCAGCTGCAGCTTTCGCGTTCGTCATCCTCCATACGCCATGAAATGTGCCCTATCCAGTGTCACCCGTGATGCCTCGGCTTGGCGCTTTGAGCCTAATATGTCTCCGCCGTTCCTTCAAACATTTAGGAACAAGTCCTGGAGTCAAGTTTTGAGGAATTAGTTTTGCCTCTTGAGTCATCGTCGTTGTCGTCGCACACACTGCCGGTTTGTGCAATCGTTTGAACTTTGTGTTTATATGATGCGTAGCCAAACTGCGTTTAAATATAGGAATGGAAACTAATTTGAGCCGCCTGACGTTAGACGCTGCTCGCCTGTGGTGCGTTGCCAATGGAGGCTCTAAGGGTGATGCTCCATCCGCCTCTTTGCCTCTTTCTCAACTACCAGACTAACATTATTGACGGTCCTTATAGTATCTTTTTAAAGGGTGGGGTATGGACAGAAACATACCTGTGTGTTGTGACACCATTGGCTGGCGCTGTAACTATTCGCTGGCCCTCGCAATTCGATTAACAGGAACGATTCGGGATTGTGAGGTTTTGTCTTGTAAATCGATTCTTGTTATTTCTTCGTGGTTTGTTTTAGCACCTATGTTGGTTGTAGCAGTCACGAGAACCAATCGCATTCAACATACACACGAATCTAAATCGATTCTTCCATCCAAGTGTGTTTTTTTCTGAGTGTGCCTATGGGTCATTGTTTATTGAACTGATGTAACGTTACAGGATTATCATCAAACCGCTGTTGAATGAGCTCAGATTACAGTCTTGTTTCTGCTGTCCATCCGAAGAAAAGTATTTGTAAACATTTAAAGTAACAATAAACGAAACGCATTTGTCAATAACCCTGTGGCCTTAAAAGTAAAACAAAAAAAAATAGTCAATTTGGGCAATGGCCATTCTTCTATAAAGAAAAGGGCTTTTTTGTTACGTATACTTGTGTACCACTGCCAACACAGCATCACCAACTAATTTGTTAAATACAAAGTAGCTTTGACAATTATGGAAGCCATGATATACCATCGTCATAACATTAAAGAGGTATACCTAATGGTAGGCATACATTGATGTATATTTTTTACGGCAACTTTTTTGAGACATCCTCTTGTCAGTCTATAGACTCAAACTTTCATGAGGGTAATATTAGATTTACTTTAATGCCGGTGGGGTAACCACTTCACAGGTGCAAGTCAGACCATCATCATCATCAGCAGCCACGATCTATCCACTGATCGATGAAGGCCTCCTCGCTCCATCATCACAAACCCTCACATTGTTGCGATGTCACCACCTCGCTCTTGCATCTGGTCGTTCTCTCGGACACGCTGTCTTCTTTGGCCGCCCGTCTCATTCTAACAACTTGCACTGCACAGCTCTGATTTATTTCTGCCTTGCCTCGGTCGTTATATATTTAGCCGTGGCTCGACTGTCGTAATATTAGGGCCGTTGCCGTCCTCTTTGATGGGTGACCTGGCCTTGTTTTTACGGCTGACGCGCAGGAGAAGTTGCGCGTTCACTCTTGTTGACGGTGGCGCACAGCCAGGTGAAAACAAACGACCACAAAATATTTCTCAGCATTTTTTTTAAATCTAATTAGTTTTTTTGGAAAACATTCATAAATTAAGCGACAACATTGAATGTCCTCATCTGTAAACATTGAACCTCTGCCAGGGAATATTTTCTTACTTCACAATTGAACAAAGTTTTATTTACGGAAATTAGTTTTTTCTTAGCAGTTTTTGGCTCTTACCGGTTATGCGTGGCGACACGAATGTTCTGTGTATACACTGGGCATGGGTCTACATGTGTTAATGTGGTTTGTCTGGCACGTGTGTGTGTGTGTGCGTGCATTTGTGTCTGCACGGATTTGTCGTCTGCGTGCGTAGACTCCCTGTCGGCGTCGAGTGGCGACGCTAGCCCCTCCACGGGCTCCCTGCATCCCCACCCCCTGGTGCCGCCCCTCCAGAGCTCGCCGGGACCCAAGAGGCCTGGGAACACCCTCCGCAAGTGGCTGACCAGTCCTGTCCGCAGGTAACCGCGGCACACCTGCATAAGGGGGGGTTCAGATGGGTTACTCTCCTTTACAACTCCTCGCCTTCTTGTTCTTGTCGTACGTCTGCCGATGGAGATGCAGAGCAACAATTACGATCTCACATTCAGGTGGTCAAGCCAGACAACCGCGGAGTGTATCATCGCTTTGATGTCTCTTTCGTATTTGTGGATCGGGCATTGCTTCATTATATGTTCTATGGTCTGTTTGGATGACCACATTTCAGAAGATTAGATTGAGTGTAGCCCATGTGTATATTTCTTGCAAATTATTCGAAACATTTTATATAGTTTTAATATGCTTTCAACTATTAAGAAAAGGAGACGTAATGGGCATTGGCAGGACATGTCACAGAACATGTCACGAGAATTGATGATGGTGGAAGATCAACAGTAGTGGTGGATTAGCAGCCATGAAATGGAACACGTCTGAGAGGACGTCCATCGGTGAGATAGAGCGATGATTTCATCTCAAGTGAAGGTGTTGGCTGGATTAGCCGCATCGCATAACCGTGAGAGATGGCGTCAGCTGGAGGAGGCTTTATCCAGCTGCAGATTGATAATGGCTAATGATGATTATGGAGTAGATATTGGATAATAATTTTTTTATAAACTCATGTCCTCATGCTTTCAGATACTTTTGATAGGATGCTGACAATAGAAATGCTCTTAGGCTTTTTGCAAACACTGATAAGAAAATGCTGAAATAAAATAACATTAGCGCCGAGCATTTTACGGAAATAAACTCCCAGGGCGGTGCATATAACAAACAACAAGAGATTAAACGATGATGACGCATTTTGCTTTATGCCCATTAGCACATTATCTGTACGTGTTCAGGCAAGGCAAGACACAGCACACGTGGCACACGTGAGCGCGAGTTTCCCTTGTCATATTAAGGCTGCGAAAGGCGCGGCGGCTGTGCTGTGGCGTCGAACACAGACACGGCTCACGTGCGTTTAGCATTGGTAATGAGAGCGACGGTGGAAGGCGCCGCAGCAACAGTCGTAACACTACTGCAGTGCGTTCCTGAGATTGCTATTCAGTTCCGGGTGCCAGTGATTGACCAATAATTATAATGGGTAGATCAAGGTGGCTGGACATTGTGCTGGCGGCCCATGTATTTCACCAGGATCACGGGGAGTGTTGGTTTGATTTTGTTCCAAATGGGACCTTTATCCTTGGAGATGTCCGCTTCTTGTGGTCCTCAGATTTCTGGTGTAAGAGTATTAGGAGCAGGGGCGGAGCCAGGATTTCAGGCCGGGGTGACATTCAACAAATTTTAATATCAAGAATGATTAGAGAGTCAGGCTGTTGAATTAGACGCCATCGGTTGGCGACACACAATGCAGTTGCACGGAGTCCGCCAGACCGAGTGTCGTACACTTATGCGCAGAATGTCACCCCTGTCACCCCACCCTGGCTCCGCCCCTGATTAGGAGGGCCTCTTAGGCTAGCTATTATCAGGCCTCATCTTGTGGCCAATAGATGCTTTCTATAAGGGTCATGAGGGTGTTTTTCTCTCTTCCAATGAGATTGTCCGTGGCTTTTTGAAGGAGGTGCAGTTTATAAAGGGTCCATGTTGTAGGGAGTCTTGTTACCCCTGAGACACCTACCCTTTAGTTCTGGATGCTTTGAGTGAAAAGTTTATCTGAGGCTCCACATCAGTTTTAAACATTTGAAACTATAACTTAAAAGTGGCATTGAATGAGCTGATTGGTGAGTACTTGTTTGAAACATCCACGCGCAAGGATACAATGGGAAACGGGCCCACGTTGTGCACTAATTTTTTTAAAGTGAAAAATGTAGGCGAATGGATTGGTCAATAATGCTGCATCAAATCGTCCACTCTTGGTTCTATAATTAAAACAATTATGCAAATTATATTATTATTTCTTTTCGGATAATGGGGCCAACAAAACTATACAAACAATGCAGATTGGTCACATTTCTGGGGGATTGCAGTGAATGATCACATGATTCCACAAAGTATATCTTCCCCACCGAGTGCCCCTTGCTGCTGTTCGTGCTCGTGCGCGCACGCACGTGTGTGGGGAGCAGTGGCACAGCGGCTTGGCACGCTGCACTACGAACCCAGCAACACCATGCGCTACCGGCGGCGATTATCTCAACCAGTTCTGGACCTCCCCTAGGTCGACTCGGCCTCAAATGAGTACCTGGTGCGATGTGTAAACAGCAGCAATGGGGGAATCAAAGGCAGCCGGGCGTGGCATTGGCCACCCACCCCCTCGTGTGCCGTGACGGCCTTCAAAGTTGCTCGTTAACAGCACTTGCCCCAACAGTGTATTTAAAGGCTACACGGGGAATGTGCGTACGGGCATGTGTGCAGGCTCAGCAGCGGCAAGGCGGAGGCCGGCTCGCACCAGACCAAGAAGCTGACGGCGCACAAGCACAACAAGAAGGGCGGCCGCAAGAGCGTGGACCTGGGGGCGGCGCGTGACGCCGAGGATGGGGCGCTGGTCGCATCGTCCGCCACCCCGCTCGAAGACGCGCACGACGAGGTGAGGGGATTCTCGGCCCAAGTCGCCCGCCGACTTTGTTCAGCAGTCACGACTACGCTCCTTGATGGGGCATTTGCCATTATCAGAGTCATAATTGGGCCTGTAATAATTATCCCCCTTGTGAGTCAATGAGTTGTTATGATTCGGGATTGCAATTCAAGCATACTTTGAAATGTATATGTTTCATGATAGAGTGCGGCCGCAGTGGCCCACTCAAATGAATTGCATACAACACGTAATAAAAAAAATTCTCAGTTATCAAACGCCTGATTTATTGCGGGTACTGTCAGCATAAGAATCGGTTTTAGTTGATGAATCGATGCTTCGATAAAATACTGAGCCGTCATCGTCACCACTGGTACGTCATCCTTGTCATTTGTCAGTGTCCTGAGATGCAGTCTCATTGAGAAGCTTTGTGGATTCAAATTGTACTGTTTTTTTTAATTAAATCATCATCCACGGTAACGTGTTTTGGGATAGATCGCGTTAACGTGTCTGTACACCCACGTCCAACCACAACACATCCAATTGGTTAAGGTTTGTCGACACATTTACACTTACGCGATCGAACCCAAAAAACGTTATCATGATTAATATTGATCGCGGAAGGCCTACGTGTTAAATAAATCATCACCGTTATCATACATTGTGTTTGTTAGTGCCTTGCACAACAAACACCACCCCAAAGCGTGTCGGGTGGCTGCTGAGTGGGGCTAATGATGGAACACTATCTGCTGTAACATGGACGTTAACAGCCCTGCTGCAACAGATCACTCTGTCTCTGCGTAAAAAATATTGACGAATGTGTTGAGCTCTCTATTTTGTGTGTCATAGTGTAAAACCCAAACTATAATTTAGTTTTTTTACCTGTGGGATTACCATGTCCCAGATCTTAACAAAAGAGATGGTGCATTTTCAGTAGGGCCCACACCTAGATGAATATAAGACATTGATTCATTGAGGTGGGCGTCTGCCACCGCCCTTGGTGATTTCCCCAGAGGTTCGGAGTAGCCCTTTTGTGGCCTCCGGCGTTCTGTGCCGTGGGTCTTGGCGAGCGCGTTTGTCACCCGTGTTAATCGCCACACACGCCGGCTCCATGGGAGCGTTATCCAACCTTCGCAGGGTTATGCGTATTTTGGCGGGTACTGTGGAGCACCTCTGGAATCGGTGAATTGCGCGGACCTTCGTGATTCGCCCAGCGGCAAATTTACTATTCGGATAGTAATAGGGCTCTACAACAATAAGGCTGCTGATTTATACGTGTGGGTTTAAAAATTGTGTTAACCCTGCTGTACGTGTGTGATTTCATTCGATGCTCTGGATTTCATCTTCACACAAACATTTGCCGATAAAACGAAGTATTGACATTTGAAGTAGAAAGCCTCCAAAAAAGTATTAAGGTTTTATTGGATAAATAAATTACATAATTATAGTTATTATTGGTGTGTGTGCATTTCGGTAATTGTGGCGTGTGGTCATCCTACTGTGCTATGAATCCAGCATCCTGAATTTTAATCTCGGCCATGGCCAACATCAATGGTGATTCTTTGAAGATGTCCTGGGCTACCCCTAGGGCGACTCAGCCTTAAATCAAACTTCACATATATACACAATTTGGGCATAAAATGCATTACAAAGTGCTTTGCACGACAAATAAAAGGCGACTATCAACAATAAAAAATAAGTGTAATGCGTTAAAAAAGACGTAACATTACAATGAACTAAAAGTATAATAAAAAGCATAATAATCATGTCATCCTTATGAAAAACCAATCTAAAAAGGTGTGTTTTAAGATGTCGTTTAAAAACATTCACTGATCATAATGTCCTCAGATGAGCCATCTGATGCAGTATGCAAATGTGAGCAATGAGGAGACAGGCATCCGGATCTGTTCCTGGTCACACCACTTTCTTGTGCGCTGTACCAGCCTACATAGGTCCTCGGTAACGGCACTTGCCCCACATTTTCTGTCTAGGCTATACGGGGGACATTTGTCTTTGTTTGTGCGCGGCAGCGCGTGCGCCGTGACGGCTCTGGAAGCGGCACGCTGTCCAAGTCGTCGTCGTCCGGCATGCAAAGCTGCGGCGAGGAGGAGGGTGAGGAGGTGGCGGAAGTACTGCCCCTCCCGCCGCCCATGCAGATCCAGCAGCACAGCCTCCTGCAGGCCGAGCGCGCTGACGACAAGGTAAGCCCCGCCCGCCCATCGCTTGGCGAACGGCTTCAACGCCGCCCACGCTTGCTCCTTCCCGCTCACCGGTTGAGCCCGGTCCACACGTGTCTTTTACACAGAGCGACTCGCGGAGTGACCGTCGCCGTGAACTTCGCTCCATCATCGCGCCGTGACCCTTGCTCGCAAATGTCCACGGCACGATAAGGGTGCGTTGCCTTGTCAACGTGCCAATCGGAGATGACTATATGGCGTCTTATCAGGCCCGATGCCTCGTCTCGAGGAAAGCGCTCGATCTCTCGGGAAGTGATGTCCAAGGAATTGCGTCACATCCATTTCAACCAATTCTGCTCCGGGATTGCTCAATTGTCTCGCGGCATGGTTCGCAGTAAATCGCTGGTTCAGTCGGGCGACGATCGAATTGCCCTTTGACCACTCCGTGTCGCTTTTGTAAAAAAAAAAACACGGGTGGATCGAGCGTTAAGCTCACCGCTTGCCAGCCTCACCTGCACCGTCGACGACTACAAGGTGAGTGCGGTTCGCACTTGAACGCTCACCAGCCTTCGGCTACACTTCCCGCACGACAACTTCACGCTCCAAACGCTCACCGCGCACTCTCCAGCTCTTGCTTTAGAGAAATCTTGCCGTGTGCGACGAGGTGAGCACGGTTTCCCGCTCGGCACTTGGCAATATGACACCACCGTTGTTCGGCGTCGCAGAAAACCTTGGCAACTGTTGACCGCTTTCCGCTGAGCACATAGCACACCTACTGTGGCCGCTGCACACCAACCCCTCACCGACGGCTGAGCTGCTCCTCCATCCCTGCCCTGCGTGCCATTGACCGCTTACTTGCCAACCCACCCGCCGCTGCTCGTGTTGTATGGTGCCATTGTTGTAAGAGAGCCCTCTTGCGCGATTACCAACATTGCTTTCAAAGTGTAGCCTCCGTGCCTTGCTCGCATTAATCGCTGCTTATCAAAACACACGACACTCGCTAACTCTGAAACAGCTTATGTCGCTGTCGGTTGCAATAAAAACGCTCTTTTGCGCGCGCGTATACACGTACGTGCCTGTGCATCTGAGCAGCATGCACAGCTGCTGGTTTGTTATGTTAACATTATTTTTTCTTTTTTTTTGTTCCCATTCCATTAGTTTTCCTTTTGTCGTGATCCTTAGATCTTTTATCCCTCCCCACAAGCTGCAATAGCAATCCCCCCCCCCCCACCCTTACCCTCACCAGCACCTATCCACTGTCCACTTTCCCTCCGGGCAATGGCATTATCGTTGTAGCGAAGCTCAAGTTTCTCTCTCTCTCTTGAGTATTAAGTACCCTAAAAGACTCGACATTTTATTATGCGCAATAGCTTGTAAAACAAAAATAGGTATCAGCCTAATTGGAAATACATGTACGTGCTGACACTTTTGGCCCTAACACCCTTGAACCCCCAAAAAGAACAATAGGCATTTTTTGCGCGACACTTCTAATGTGAGTTTTGCAAAACAGAAATTACCATTGTGCCGCAAGTGGCCTCGCTCCACCGTTATCGAAGCCACAGTCTTCAAATGGTTGGGGGCGGCGTACACCGCAGGCCTTGATGTTCGGGATACAATTTCACACGTGCTTTGCATGGGCGGCCTCTGCGGCTCATGCTCGCCGAAAAAAAAATACCGACTCACATTCGTGCTCGTGAGTGAATGTAATCGCGGTCATATCGGGGTCCTCACCCCCTGTACGTTGTGTTCTAAGGGATCTTTCCGGTTTTGTATATCATTTATGGATATAGCACCCCCGATGAGCACGGTTGGCTACGTACGGTGCAAAAGAAGTTCAACAAAGGAGTTCAACATATATAAATAGCACGTCAATGAGAAATTTGGTGATGTCGGGTTTTTTTATTCGTGATCTTTTTACGGTTAGCTAACGTATGTCTTGTAAATCTATCGCAGGGTCGATTGAGGCAGGTACAATGAACGATTCGGAGAGGCGTGTATTTCAGTATTAAACTAAACGCCCAATCATTTATAATTTTCACCACTTTTTACTCGTTTGGGGTCCTGTGTTGGCTCTGCGCACGAAGCGCATACCCCGTAGATCCTGCCCGCTGCCTTAGCGTAGTGTCCTGTCGGTGCGCTGCCGCACAGATGGCTATCCCTACCACCCCGTTCTATCATGCCGCCGTGCACACCGCGAGCTCCGCTGACCTTTCATAGCGCAGCGTCCCGCGCATCGGTAGAGCTGCTGCTGCTGCTGCTTTTTACCCTCTCCAAATGCGACCCCCCACATTTGCCTTCTCCAAACCACCCAGCCTGCTCACATCCCTACCACCGAGGAGGCACCCCCTCCCTCTCTTGGCCGAGCGTCATCGTCTCACTCCCAGCCCTGCCGCCTACCCCTGGGCTAGTCAGTGCCTTCGTGCTCCGCACAGTCGCTGCACGCTCCCCTCACCCCTCGCCCCCTGTCCAGTCAGTGCTTGTGTCCTACCTCCAGCCACTCCCCCCATCTCCCTGCCGTCAGTGCCTGTATGCGGAGCATCCCCTGCAGGTGAGCACTGGCTGCCTCGGGTGCGGACTCGATCAGCTGCGAGGCTAACCGACGCACTCCCCGTCTCTTTAGCGAGCAGCCATGCGCGCGCTGCTACCGGTCGCACGCACGCACGCACGAGTGTACACGCTCGAAAGTGCAGCTAGGCACACGTGCATGCAGGTACGTACATGTGCACGTACATTTGCACGCATGCACCGGCCCATGCACGTGCAGGCCCGCACGTGTGCTCATCTCTTCATATGTCCCTTTACGCAAAGATTCAGAACTCTGGCGTGAGCGCCGATAGCAAATGGGACAAGGCAGATTGTTTCCTGGCCAGGCCGTACCCAAGTTGCTTCAATCCATCCGATGTTTCACTATATAGATGCAGCGGATAAGCACAGGTGCCCCATTACTGCTACCCACTCGGCTTCTAACAATTCACACCCCCCCCCCCCCTCTCAATGCAATGAATTGCCAAGATGAGTTGCATAGTTTCCCGTTTCTCTCCCAGTGTATGTCACTCTTATCGTATCAACCCCTTATTTTCCCGACGTAGGGTAGTTGGCCTAAACATCACAATCTTACCACCTTTCTTATTCACGGGAGTACAGTTTAACGTAACGCGTTGTTCATCATGTAACATTTACTGAAAACAACACCTTAACTCTCGTACAATTAACTGGCACAGTGTGGGGAGGTCTTCATCTCGTAATATGTTGAGAATAGGTTGAATATTGCTATTAATTCGTCATGTACCCCAGCGATAATCCACACAACCCAGGGAAAAACGAGGCCCAATCCTCGTTAAGTTCTATCCAGTTAGTTGAACATTTAGGCTTTCGTGACCAATGTTATCTATAATATATTTTTTTTTATTTAAGATCATAACAGGAGGATTTCTCTACAACTCTGGATGTCACCTGATAATGATGGTTGTAATTACCGGCAAAAGGTCATACCCAAATTGTAAATGTTGTGGGTTTACTCAAACACACCGGTGTCCTGAACTAGTCACGAATTGGCACGTTTTGTTTACGTGACAAACGTTACCAATTGGCTGTGTCGAGTTGTGGCCGGTTTGACGACACATTCCCATCCGGTTGTCTGCCCGTTCGTTCACCTCCGAGAACATCACCAAGGCTTTGCATCCACGCAGCTGTCTCGGAGGCGAGTGAAAGCACCCTGTGCTTGACGAGGTGACTGGTCGTCGCTTGATTGCGCAAGTCCCCATTTGGCAGGGTTTATGATAGGGGGACACCTCCAGGTCCATTTAGACATTGTCCTGTTAAAACATACGGGGAGTGGTCTGTGAAAGGGCAATGGCTCTGTAATTAAATCAAACCTTCGTGGGCTGACAAACCAGTTGGCCTCTATGCTGCTGCAATGTAAACAACAGAGTGCGACGTTCATCATCATCATCATCAGTCCATGATCTATCCACTACTGGATGAAGGCCTCCGCACACCATGGCAATTTCCTAATGATTTGATATGCAATGCTCCGTCTTGCTCATGCGCAATTAAGCTTTTATAGTGTGAGCTGCTATCAATATCAGCAAGCTAATACTAAGCAATTTCCATTAATCGACCCCCTCACCAGACGAACACCAACTAACCTCACCCCTATATCAGGATCCCAGCCCTCCAGCGTCGCCTCCCACGCATGTCATCCAACCACTCTCTAGCTCCTGTTGCTGGCCTGCTACCCCACCCCGGGCCCTACTTGGCTGCCCAGCCACTCCTCTTGTGTCTTGGTGGGGGGTGGGGTCACCGGCACGGGGTGGAGGTGATATTGGTGGGGGGTCGTTCAGGGCCGTGGCACCACGCAACGCTTGACAAACGCCACTCCCATCAGTGACAGCACCGCTCCCATTCCGAGCACGCGTATAATAGTGCACAATAGGCCTAAATCGGTATTCAAGTACGTGCGTGCGTTGTATCCCGTTTCTCCTGTGTAGTATACACATGCACGATTACAACGGTGTACACGGACACCGATGTGTCGCCGTGTCCTTTGCGCACACTTGGGCCACACCTGTTTACAGCTGCTGCTTCTGCTGCAAATTTTCGCGCACATGCAAGGACATCTGCCGAGAAGGCAGCTCAGCTTCCTGTTCCATGCGGGAGTCTACCTGCTGCGCGTTATTACCCGGGATTTGCGTTCACCCCCCAATATCCGGAGTGGTGCCCTTGGTGGACATTACCGAAATGCTTAAAGGTGGTGTTCGGAACAGAAAGGTCGAAGCAAGCGATGAATCTGTTTTTGCAGGACTTCACATTTAAATGGTTTCATTTGATTGTTGTCCACCGCCAATGTTGATATTTATCATGCAGTAGTAGGTAAGTCAAGGCTTAGAGAGGTCTACCATGTGTGCTGTACTCTGTAATGTTTTGGACACGTTATCCATGCCACACGTGCATCAAATGCTTGCACGCCTTCTATTGACGTCACCCGGCTCTGCGTAGTTGCCAAGTGTGTGTGTGATGTGTGTGCCGTGACCGGTGTGTGAGCAGATTGTATGTTGTGTATATTGTGCGAGTATAGTGTATGCTGTGTTTATGCTTTGATGCTGTTTGTTGTGCTGTGCCTGCTGGGCGGGCCACTGTTTATTAAACTCTGCGTTCCTTGTTCTTACTCTTAAGTGCTTTGCGTACTTCTGTACTTTGTACGAACCCTGTAAGCACCGACTGTCGCTCTCCCCCCCACCCACCCGAATTTCCTCGCACCGCTGGCCTACGCCCGTCTCGGCACCACTTTTGACCGTGCGTTTTCCGCTGCCCGTTGCGTATTCACGCTGATGCTGTTGCGTGCCCCGGGAGCGCCGTCACGTCCTTACTCTACGCTCTCCCCCCCCCGCCCCTGACTCCTTTACCCCCCCTCCTCCTTTCCTCTCCTGCTTGAACCTCGGAAGCCGGCGTCCCTGCTGGCTACGCGTGTCGGTGCTTCCGAAATCCCGACCACGGCCGAGCTGGTCAGTGCCATTGAGAACCTCGTCAAGAGCAAGATGGTGAGCGATGCTTGTCTCCCCCCCCCCCCCCCCGCACGTGCGACTGCTTGTGTATGGGAAGCTGTTGTGGACTGGTTTGTTTACTGTGCTATAAACCCCATTTGACCTGAGTTCCATTCCCACTCGAGACCAATAACTGGCGAATATTTGAACCGGTCCTAGGCCTTCTTTTGTTCGACTAAGTCTTAGATGCGTACCTGGTGCAGTGTATAAACGTCAGCTTTTGGGGAGACAAAGGTGGCCATGTTTGGTCTTTGCCATCTGCATCCTTGTGTGTTATTCTGGCCTTAATAGGTGTTTACTTACAGCGCTGGCCTCAAGTCTGTTAAAGGTTTTATGGGGTCTTTGTTCATGTATTTGTATGTGTCGATGCCTTCGTGCTCTGCGTTGCTTAGATGCAAACGTTGCGAGCTCTGAAAACCTTTGCACATTTGACGACAGTGTTTTCTGCACATTTGTATTGTAAATTGTGGTATAATTGTTTTTAACTAACCGGATATTTCCAAATGACTCTTCATTGGCATCTGGGTTGCAGATGATTGGATGCTCACGTTGCAGATAGCGACGGAGCTGGTGGTCATGGCTGTGATTGTGAATGAACGATCATTGTACCTATTGCGGTTTCAATAATGAACCGTGGCGATGGTGATTGTACATCTTAATGAATTACAATGTGCAAAAGTCATAACATTAATCAATGTCATTTTGATATTGATCATGAATTATACATTGTTTTTGACGTATGATTGTAGTCATTATTGTGACTGTGGAAAGTAATTGTAAATCATAGCGATTAGGGATGCATGATTGTAATTACGATTCTATATTTTGGTGATAATGATTTTGAATTGTAGCTTCGATGTGGCTACGGGTGGGAATTGTTGCTGTGCCCGTTATTTATTTATTTGTGCTAATGAGTTGTACTCTTTGGTTCTTTCGGTAAAGTCACGTTGGTATAAAATAAAACAAATTAAATCACGTTGTTTCGATTGCAACATAAGCAATCATCATCAGGTGGGAAAACCACGGCAATATTTTTTTGCTGAAATTTGTTTTATTTTATTTGATGCCTACGTCACTTTACCGAAAGAACCAAAGAGTATGGATCCATGCAGCCACGAAAACTTCAAATCTAGACTCGTGAGTTGTGTAATTCTTTTTACGATGGGTGGTTATGATCACTGTGACGATGATCGCAACAGCAAATCTGTGTTCATGATCACAGTGCTTAAATCGGGACGTGCTCTGACGCCGAGTGATCGTGAATGCGCGTTTGCGGTTCTTGCCGTCTTCGTGGCCGCAGGCGCTAGACGAGCGTCCGTGCTCCTTGCCGGTCGGGGAGAGCAGCAGCCCGACGGTGACGTCATCTGACGGTTCGGCGCTCGCCCCTTCATCCTCCTCGCCGGCCGACGAGCCCGACGAACGCCGCGCCGGCACGCTCCGACGCAGGCAGTGAGCCGCCACCACCGTCGTCGCCACGCCCGCGGCACGACCGGCACACGCACACCTCCATACACCGCACAGCCAGATACACACCCGTTCATCTACACAGCCACCTCCGCACAGCCGGATACAAAGACAAAGATTCCCCTGTTTCACGCGAACACTACCGCTCCCCACACAGCCGGATACACACTCCCTAGATTATACACCACACGACCATTACGCACCTACCAGGTAAACCGCACAGCCGATATACACTGCCCCGGTACACCGCATCGCCAAATACACTTGTCCCTAGATTCACCACAAAGTCGATACACACTAGATACACAACTCAACCAATTCAGTGTACAGCAAGAAACCTGCTTTACACTGGATTAGTTGCTTGTATGAAGAGCCAGTGTGCTTTCCAACGTTGCTTGGGTCTGCTTGGGTCGACGGTTGGATTCCTGCGCTAGCCGCCGGGTTTAGTTTTTAAAGTGCAGTCCCTGGCTCTAAAGTGGTTGCTTCAGACCCTGCAACGTTGCCACCTTTCGCCACATGTAAACCAACGTTTGTCAGTGTCGCTGGCCAATCCCAGATTTCAAAAAAATCGAAAGCTCAATATCCCCTTTGTAAGTAGCATGGCTGGAGACTCCCCTGTAAAGAGATAATGGTCTCTCGCTTGCTTACGGGACATTCATCCGGCTGTCTCTCATGTACAAGACACACTGACTTTTGATGGGCTTTCGTGTGTGTAAATAGAGCACATCAATCCAATTCTGCCGTGTGAAGGAGATAATGAGTCTCAATGGGCTTTGTTCCAGCTTAATTAAAGGATATCCATCATATCAAAGACCACCCTCTCTGCCTTATGCAACTGGCACTGTTTGTGCATATTATGTTTTGTGTGCACTCTGGTACTCACCTCATCGCTTGTGTGTGGATGTGTACGCATATGTACGTGTATGCGTGTGTGTATCTGTGTGTGTGTATCTGTGTGTGGATGTGCGCACGTGTGTGTTTGTGTGTTTTGGGGAATGGTAGTGCAACGGTTAGCGTGCTGCACTACGAACTCGGCAACCCGAGCTCGATTCCCACTCAAAACCAGTGACGATTATCTGAACCGGTTCTGATGCGGTGTATAAACATCACCACGAGGGAGACAAAGGCGGCCGGGTGTGGTGTTGGCCACCCACCCCCTCATGTGCCGTGTTGGCCCTTCATAGGTGCTGCTCGCTAACAGCATTTTCCCCAACAGTCTGTTAAGGCTATATGGGGGATCTTTGTCTTTGCGCGCTCAGGTACGTGTTTCAGGAGCTGGTGGAAACAGAGCGAGACTACGTGCGTGACCTGGGCTACGTGGTGGAGGTGAGAGATCTCCGTCCCTCGCGCCCCTCTGTATCCTAACACGCACGATGCAGCACTCGGGCCACGGAAAACAATGACTGCATTGAGGTTTCTTCCAGTGCTCGCATACTCTTAATGCCCCAGAGCCGCCCCAGGTCTTACGAATTGCCACCGAGTCGCTGGGAAAATGTCCGAAGCTAAGCAGGGTTGAGCGTGCATAGTGCTTGGATGAGCGACTACCATGCATAATAGTTGGTATCGGCCCCGGGGCTACATGGTGGGCAGCAGAGGGCAGTGCAGCGCTGCCCTCTGCTCTACTTCTACGCGATCATGTCTGTGGTTCCTCACCTTTACCAACTCACACTAACCAGCCTGGTGAAGTATGGTCAAATAACCTCCACGACCCGTAAGGTGTGGGGACGCCTTCGTCCAGTCAGCGGATTGACAAAGTACTACCCACCACTTTGTTAGATGTATCTGTTTTCGTTGCCATATTGTTACGCGCTTTCTGCATTGCCTTGCACCGTCGCTGGTGCGTTACATGTACAAACACAGTGCGGGCAGCTGTCAGGGTGAAGCTGGAAGCTAGTTGAGTGCAGCATTACACAGGGCGACCACTGGAGCAGATCTGATCCGAGGCAGCGGCAGCGGTCATGTGGGCGCTGCCGCTGGCTCGTAACTGAGCTAGCGTGCACGGGTTCGCCGGGCTGGGCTCCCTCACCCAAGTGTTGGTGCTGCTGGGGCACTCTTGTCTGCAGCATGTCTGTATATGTATTTTGAATTTATTTTCGCACCGTACGTAGCCAACTGTGCCAGAGGTGTGGGGGAAGGACAACATTGAAGACACCGTGACATTCTCAAGAGTAGTACATTGTGTCACCAGCTGTCACCTTGTAACTTAGCCAAACTTCACAATTATCTATATTGCAATTAAAGCACATTCATCTCCGTGTAGGCTGTTGACAGCCTCGTAATTGAGACTTAGCTTCACACTGGCACATATAATGACTGTGAAAAAAATCTAATAAATAAATGCATAACCTTGGGTCACCTGTGCAATACATGAATACACGAGTGTGTGTACGTGTCGCGTCTTTTGTTTGCAAGCTTGTGCCTATGCGTGTGCCTATGCGTGTGCCTGTACCACGCCTGTATGCATAATGATTATTTCCACATGACGCGCTGGTACGGGCGTCTTGTCTTCATGAGCCTCGTCCTCTGGTTACGCGGTGCCAGCTGCCTTTCATAGAAGTGAACATGTGTCCTTTGTGCGAATGTGCAGTAGTACGAGGGTGCATGTTTACTCCTTTTGTGTTCAACTTGCGGGTACCCATTTTGCCTGGCGAAGCTCGCGAACGTGCATCGACTGTCCCCGCGAGGGCTCGTTCGGCACTTGCCGCAGAGCTTTGTGGTTCGATTCCGGCAGGCAGCCCTGGTTATTACCGCGGGTGTACTCATTCACCATTCACGTGCATGCCGACTGCTTCACATTTAAAGAAGAGGAAGCCATTGTGTGCTGCCGGCGTTATGGTCCTAAATTTGGAAACACGGCACCTTTGTGATGGCCCTGCGCGAAATACAAATGTACTAAGTAGTTTTTTTTTTTTACTAATTAGAATCCTCTCCTGTTTATTTGCATGTGCTCGTGCGTGTGTGCGTGCGTGCATGTGCGCTACCCGTGCCCACATGCAGGGTTACATGGCGGTGATGCGGGAGGACTGGGTGCCCGACGATCTGAAGGGGAAAGACAAGATGGTGTTTGGCAACATCCACCAGATCCACGACTGGCATCGCGAGTGAGCATCCCGACACATCTTGGCACGGGCATAAATCGGGAACAAGGGGAAAAGTACAAAGTACACGCAGCAACGCTCGCCTCTCGCCAAATTACAATGACTAGTTCAAGTTCATTTGCTTAACCAGGTGAAAACTCCACACGCGAGAAAAGTATTATTTTCAACAGTCACATCAGTCACTCAGTGACAAAAGCAACACAAATCAAATGCATTTTGACACGTAGGCTTTTGCGACCAATAGTATTCATGGTAAGGATTTTTTTGGGTTGATCACCACAATGTGATGAGGCTGGTTGTAATCACTAGCAAAGTGTCGTTAGTTAAAATTGTAAATGTTCTGGGTTTACTCACCAGTACACCGGTGTGCTGCTGAAGTAGTAACTAATTGGCACGTTTTGTTCACGTGACAAACTTTACTTATCGGTCTAGATTTGAAGTTGCTTATCGGCTTTGTCGCGTGGAGGTGGGTTTACGACACCTGTTTTTACTGACGTGATTCTAACCCAAAAATCGTTATCATAAATAAAATAAAGTACACACATGAAGCCAATTAGAAACCACAATGTGTCCAATCCCATCGGATGTCAGAAGCTAAGGTGGCTTGAGCCTGTTTAGTACTTGGACAGGGGACCGGTGTCACAGACTTGAGCTGCCCGGTGGCCAGGACACGACAGGACCTCAATGGGTGCTTTAATCTATCTTTGTGGAGTTTTGTGTGTTTTATGACCCCCTTGTGTGTGTGGGTTTTCTTTATGTACGTACGTACAGAGAACGCCACTTAACGACAGAAATTGGTTCTACGAAACCGGTCATTAAGTTATTTGGACATTCAGCAAGTTTAGGAAATACATGTTTTAAAGGATTAATTTGTTCCGATAGCATCGAAGGTGACCCTTTTGCGCCCAAAAAAGTACTTTATATTTAAACAATGGATATTTATACATAGAGGTACCCACACCATGGTAAACGCATAATATTAAAAGAAACATGATTAATCAATGCATTGATTAATATTTACTGTACCTACAACAGCCCGTCGTTAACAGGGGAATGGTCAGTAAGTGAACACATCGGGCTCTATGGAGGCCCGTCATTCGGTGATTAGTCGTTAACAGGGATGGTCATTGAGGGCATTGACCACACCTCCAAATGCAGATGCTACAACAATTCCCAACGGTGCCAAAGAGGGAAAAAAGTTATTGTTGCAGGAGCAGCAGTAAATTGAATCTCTTTGTCAACGATTACATTACACTAAGGCTAACCCAGAATTGCATATTCAATGGAGCTTTTTTCAGGATCTCACTTCATTAAGGTTAACACTTGGCCCTCGTTGAAATGATACCAAGGGATGTGTTTGTCACGACATGGGAAAGTGGCTCTGGAAGATATTGTAAGGGTCAGTTGTACCTTTAGCGAATGCCTCATTCATGCCATTTTAGTGAATCTTGTCGCCAGGGGTGTGTCCTTGGCCATCTGAAGATAAGCGGAGCCAAATATAGACCCCCCTCCCCCCCCATCAAGGCTGGGAGCCAAGGATGTTGTCGAGTGTTGCTCTCTTATAATAATAAATTACGATTACAGCGCACATATCTACTACTTACTCAAGGCACTGTACATCACACAAAAAAATATATCGTAGGCCAAGGTGAGGAAAAACGAAGAAGACAAGCTAATTCAGTGAACCGAAAGCAAAAGATGATAAACGCATCTTGAGGCTGGTTGTTTTCAACACCACCCATGGACCGGTTCACTTGTATGTATGTTGAACCTCTCGCACCGTACGAAGCCTACTGTGCTAATTGGAAGTGCACGGTGGGGGGGAGGCACAAACTAAACACAAAAAGCAGGTCGAAAGAAATTAGTTTTCAATCTCGAGTTACCTCTGGTGTGTGAAACCGTGCGTATTTCAGCACTGCTGTGTGATGACAAAACCGGATTCACCCTCAGAATGCAACACCGACATGTGGTGTTGCATGAAGTAATTTGATTTAAAAAAAAACGTGGTTTAATTTACTTCACGTACCAATTTTAAGTGCCTTCTTTCAGGTAATTGAATCATATGGTGATAATAATAATATATCCATCTATCTATCTATTGGAGAAGTCGCTGATGTTTCTGGCGCATGCGTGTTTCAGCTTCTTCTTAGGGGAGCTGGAGAAGTGCCTGGAGGAACCAGACCGACTGGCGCCGCTGTTTATCAAACATGTGGGTGCATGCGCGTGCTCGCACACGTACACAGGCGCACGCACGCACACACGCGGAACAGCTTTTATAGGGTCCTTAACCGTCTGGAACAGAAATGATCGGTATGAAGTGGCTGGCTGCCTTAACACTTTCAACCCATATTAGAGCACATGGGTCCCGGAGAAAATATGACCCAACACCTTTGCAATTCAGCGTATCATGTCAATGTAGAGAATCGGGGCCATTTCGGTCCGAGGTGTTTAGTCGTTGGGTCACCAACTTTAGTTTAGTTCCTGTGTGTTACGTGGATGCAGCAAACTGCATCGCAAATGGAAGCACTTTGTGTTACGCCCTGGAGGGTGCTGTCGGGCAGGCAGATGACAAGAGATGTTGTTTTGCGTTTTTTTCTCTCTGTCGAGAGTCGGCGCTCTGCTGTTATTGGAAATACGAGGAGCGTGCTCTCTAACCAGTCCCGGGGAACCACAGTTTATTTAAAACATGGAAACTTCCCACCACGTCCACAAAAATTGGCACGCAAGATCACGCTTCTTGAAAATTGTTTAAAGAAGAAACCCTTTGTTGGCATTCATTATTAGTTTATACAAAATATTTCACATTGGGTCATCATTTGTTGTGTTGCTATGCGGTGACTTTAAACAATTCTTCATCACCGATCTTGTACATTTACTGACTGCCATGCCATCCGTTCATCTGCCTTGTGTCATTTGCACACTCTTTGACCCTTCTTCCCACCACCCGTCCTGCGGCTTTCAGTTCCCATCGCCATCGCCGCACCTTTGCAAGCACTGTTAAAAAAAAAAGAAATCGTCGTTGACATGTCGATGATGGCTCACCCAGACACGCTGCTCCTGTTGTCTCCCTGTAGGAGCGCCGGTTGCACATGTACATCGTTTACTGTCAGAACAAGCCCAAGTCCGAGCACATCGTGTCGGAGTACATCGACACCTACTTCGAGGTCAGTCTCGGACCAAAAACGGTGCTTGAATATCGTCACCGCGTCGCGCGGCGCTTACACACAAAGTGCTCGCCGCAAATGAACCACCACAACACCTCGCTGATCTCGTCAAGGAGCATAAACCATCACGCCAATTCCGGTCATCCTCGCAGCGGCTTTTGGCTGGCCATCGAACGAAGGCGGTCACCACATCGCGAACTCTCAGATGCGCTTATGTGGCCGTCTGGAACGCTCTTCCGACATTAGGAAGCCACGGAGAGCTATGCATTTTTTAAAAATCTAGATTGAAAACTAATTTCATTAGAAATATGTTGTGTGTTTAGTTTGTTGTCCTTGTATCTATCTACATAATTGAATAAAATTCCTTCCCAGGTGTTGTTTTGCTTATTATTATACACGTGAAATATTTCTCTATTGAATCGCTGACCAAAGATTTTGTTACATATTGAGTAAGATGCTGGCTCACAATGGCCGACCATTGTGAATCACAAGGTATTTTAACATCCTCCGTTGTACAGCCAGAATTTATTTGGTGATGCCATAGAGCAGGTGTGCCTCTGATACAAAATATGGCTTCTATGAAAATATCCCTGCTGTACATCAGGCGAGGTAGTTAACATCTCGCCACCCTGGCCCCTAAATCAAAATCGTATATTTAATAAAATCTAGTATTTTTCAGAGCAGTGGTATTTTCAACTACAGCGCTGTGATTTGAAGCATTCAAACACTTGCTTAATTGCCTTTTTGGCAAGTGTACAAATTACTTGGCTATCAAGCTGCCTGAATTTGCATGCGTCACGAATCAACAGTGAAAAAAAAGATGCCTTGGCAAATGTTGAACCCTGTTGACACCGATGACTTTGTAGGTATCAAGGTGAACAATGACTACTGCTGCAACAAATAGCACGTTCGTCATAAGTTCATCCATACTCGCATGGAAAGATAAGCTTTGTTGGTCTGCTTGGCGCAAGCGTGGTGTTTTTGGCCGAATTGCCGTCTGACATTGATGTGAGCGTGCGAGTGCAAGAGTTACACAACTGCGTCTTTCGTGCGGTTTTGTGTTTCCGCGCGCCTGCGCGCGTGTGTGTGCACAGGAGCTAAAGCAGCGCATGGGCCACAGGTTACAGCTCACCGATCTGCTCATCAAGCCCGTACAGCGCATCATGAAGTACCAGCTGCTTCTCAAGGTGTCGACTTGCACTGCTCGCATGCCGTGAAAGAGAGATGTACCCTCCGTATACCAAGTACAGCACACTGCTGGGACAGGTGCTGTTAGCAAGCACATATATATAGCTGTTTACAAGGCAGTGCTGTTCCAAGGTTGCTGTGTGTGACGCTCCGTACCAATTACTCGTTTTAAACTGAGCACCAGGCAGATATTTCTGCGCGTGAAGCAAGGATATACATTTGAATTGATATGCTAAGAAATTGAGCCCGAGTTGCTATGGTTCTACGTTGATGACCAGGTGTATACTGAAAGGATAACTCTTTATTCAGTTATCTGCAACAGGAAAATCACTTGGCGCTTGTGAATGAAGCAATAGCAACAGTGGTACATTAGCACTTTAAGGTGGATAATATCCAATAACGAAACAAAACACGAAACATAGTGAAAGATAATTGTTGTGGGGTGCTTTTGGTACTTTGTTACACAACCAATTTCAATGAGCTTTTGTTTTGTCATTGCGGTAAGCAATGCACAATTGCTCGTTTCAGCTGCAACGCATGCTGACGTGTGTGTGTGAAAATTAATTGTTCGATAGGACATCTTGAAGTTCACGAGGAAAGCCGGCCTGGACAGTACTGATCTGGAGGTGTGACCACAACGACACCCCTTGCCCATCACCTTATCCCGCACAGCAGCACAAATTAACAAAAAAAAATCGATGTGAAGCAGACCAAGCAAATACATACACGTTTAAAATCAGTTTTTTTTACTATCATGAAAGTGTTCCAGATTTTTAAATGTGCATTGAAGGAAAAAGTTCACCATGATTGGTGTTGGCCTCACTAAATGGCCTCTCATCTGTTTAGAAATTTAAGAATTGAATGAATAAATTAACGTGTGCATTGGATCCAAGTTTCATCATTATGAAGCTGATTTAGTGGAATATTTACACGTGTGCATGTTGGTGCATGCCTGCGATCTATTACTTTTAACTTGTGGATCACAGATTTGTAAAACTCAAATCCCCTGGGTTGTGAAGTGTCCAGAATATGGCCACACATCAAATACATACAAAAAAATTCACCTACCTGGATTTGACTAAACGTCTCAATGCAATATCCTGAAAAAAGTGTCCTGAAACTCGGCGAAGCTTTGCTAAATGAGTGAAGGGCATTTATGGTTGTCAAGGCATCTTGTTCGGCATGATCTCCGACGTTCCGCTGCACGTTCTGGAAGCTTATTTCAGAAACGAGAAAACCCATCGGATAGCTGTAAGGCCCTGTTGCAAACACCTGCGCAGCAGTAGTGAATTCGCATTCATTGCAAAATTTGATTTTCTTGGAAATGGAATATCTTCTGATGGGAATATGATTTATATTTCGATGTTAATAAAGCACGAATGGTGGAAAAGGAGTAGAAATTTCAAAAATGTAAAAAAAAACCTGCAGTGAATGCAATCAAAATATAAACTAACGAACTAAACAAAACCTGTTATTTTACAGCGTAAGGCCCACTGCGCTACACAGCCCTTTTTCAAAAGTGACCTGGCTACAAACGATAGCTCAACAAAGTGGCTCATCACGTGGAAATTTATAGCAGCCAAATACTCTAAACGCACGTTTATAAATGTGGAGGGAAAAACCGGACCCACGACCTCCTGTATACCGGGCGACGCAGTTGACATCTCGCCACCACGGCGCCCAAATGAAGCAGATTTTTTTGTCTGTTTGGATGGCCGCATACCCATCGCGTCGCTTGTGACCACGTGGCGTGTGGCGGGCGCGGTGTGCAGAGGGCCGTGGAGGTGATGTGCGTGGTGCCCAAGCAGTGCAACGACATGATGAACGTGGGCCGCCTGCAGGGCTTCGAGGTAAGTGCGTGGCACACACCCCGTACACCGCCCCACCGCGCCCCGCGACGTCACAGTCAACGTTCGCTGCCGCGGCGTGGATGCCTCGGCCCTGCTCACCTCATTTCCATGAAGGCATTGATCAACCAGGACATTTTTAGGGCAATCGTCGCCCGCATACGTCACTGTGAAAGTGCATCAGCAATGAGCACCTCCGATTTATCTCGGTTGGCTACGTACAGTGCGAAAGAAGTTCAACATACATACAGACATACACCAATGGCATAGGGTTATCGAGTAGTCTTGCCAGAGAAAACGGAGCTTGTTAAAAAGTGTTTCGACGAACAGTGATTGGCTTACAGACTGCATCTCTGGGCAGGCAAATAACCTCTGGTTCCGATTGAAAGTTTCAGTCTCATTTGCTCATTGAGTGGTGGGGCTGAGATCACATTTGTTCAGCGGTCATTATGCCCAGTGAAAATATCATGGGGCTGCGCTAGCTCAGCTCGGCATTCAATGAGTATCGGCGTGATGCGTATTTGGCAGCATTTGGGAGATGAAGGCAGCCAAGTGGTGGTGCTGGCAACGCCACTCCCTCTTAAATATAAACGTGTTGTTACACCTGTCACCACCCGACACAGCCAATTAGTAAGATGTCACGTAAACAAAACATCTCAACTCGTTACTAGTTCAGTATACCGGTGTTTTGGAGAGTTCATCCACAAGATTTATAATTTTAGTACGACGTTTTTTTTTTATTACAACCAGCCTCATCAGGCGACAAGCCAGAATTTATAGGTGCTCTCAGCACTTGGGCCCCCTGCAGGCTGCGAGCCCGAACGAAGAGCGTGACCTCCTGCCTCTGCGTGCGCACGCGTGAGCAGGGCAAGATCACGGCGCAGGGCAAGCTGCTGCTGCAGGACGTGCTGCTGGTCACGGAGCCGGACGGCGGTCTGCTGGCGCGCAGCAAGGAGCGCCGCCTCTTCCTCTTCGAGCAGATTCTCATCTTCAGCGAGCCGCTCGACCGTAAGAAGGGCTTCTCTTCGCCCACCTACCTCTTCAAGAACAGCATCAAGGTGGGGCTTGTGTGGAGCCGAATGCGTGCCCATGCGCGCATCGGCTCAGCCTGTCGTGTGTATGTACGTAAGTACGTACGTATCCAGCCGTGATAATCGGAGGTACGATTCACCGCGCTTAGGATGTGACGAATTGTGACGTTTCGGGATCACGGTGTGATTCTTAAATGTATGTTTTGTAATTGTGGTCAATGTAGTGCCTCCAGTGGCTGGAGGCGCTACATTTACAATTACATGCAACGCACTGTATACGTGCAAATGCAGTATTCCTATGCTCACGATTACATACATTTTCGTGAGAGTAACAATTTATTTTAATCAATACATCAATGCCATTCCATAGCAGTGGGGGGTATTGTGTTTCATATGTATTATGTGTGAAGGGATCATTTGACTCGATAATGTTTAATGGCCATTGAACGATTCATCAATTCAATCAATTATCATGCTCCTGAGACTTGCATAGAAATCTCGTGTCTAAGAATGTATTGCTTTCTGAAAAGTATAGGCAAATGTGATAATCAGACTAATGGAGCTCACGGAGATGGGAAACAAGGCAGACATTGCAAACAAAATGGTACAAATGACAATGAAAATGATTGATTATTAAATTGAATTGCGACCCATAATCGTGACAAACATGAATACTGCTCCTCTGTCCTGCTCTGCTCTCTCTGTTTCTATGTATATTCTTCTCTCTCCATACCACACTCCTGATAGTTGTTTTACTTTTCATATTCAAATGTATTTTATTGATCCTGTACCATTTATTTGTGTATTTTGTAGCATTTTTTAATCTTGTTTGCTGTCTTATGGTATTACGTCATGAATTTAATTTGTAGCACTCTAAAACCTCTTATTCTTACAATATTTATCTCTGCATTTGAATTTGTTGCACTTTAACCTGTTTGCTGTTTATGATGCAAAATTGTGATTAAATGTGTTGCGCTGTAACAGTCTTGCCATGACGATGTTTGCCGTTATGATGTTTACCTGGGCATTTTAATATGTTCTACAGGAACATTTTTGCTTTTATGACATTTATTTCCATCAGGTCTCTTTTCAAACAGACCTCTGGTCTCAATGTGTATAAACGCACCCTCCGTTCTGTGTTTTTCACCATGAAACTAAAATGTTTTGAGTCGTCGGCCCATCGGCTTTCCAGACCAAATATTACGCAGCAGCATTTAAGTGAGGAAACCGTTCGACCTTCTGCGGTTTTTGACCTTCTGCGTCATCTCATCGGCAACGCCAGTCTTGTTAAAAGCATTTCTGCCGGGCTTACCGGATGGAGCTCTTCGCTGGTCCTAAGACGAAGGAACGTTTTGGTGTCGTGCCAGTTGAGCTGCCTGGGGCTCGAAGAGGCCTGCGAGGGAGACCCGTGCCGCCTGGTCGTGAACTCGCGCGGAGCCGACGGCTCCACGGAGCGCTTCGTGCTGCAGGCCTCCAGCGCCGAGCAGCGCCAGGCCTGGGCCCTCGCCCTGGGCCAGATCCTGGAGAACCAGCGCAACTTCCTGAACGGTAGCGCCCATCTCACCGAGTCGCAAAAACTCCCTCTCGAGCGCTGCCGCCACCACCACCCCTGCTGCCACGCAAAAGCGGTGGCATGGGAGAGGTGACCCGGATGGGATGTTTACGCTGCCCAATGATTGTGTCAAAATGCATGACGGTTATGCAACGATTCGTCACGTGTGAAAGTCTCTTCTTGTGTGGTCACGATGTATACGCATTGAATTTTGTGTGTGTGTGTAAGAATTTATAATTTGCAATTTGTGTACATTTATTATTGAGAGTTAAAGGTCGGAACAAACGAGGCATAACAAATCAGATAGAGAATACAAATTCGATCAAAAGAGAACATATGACAGTACAGTAACCCATAATTGAGACCTAAAATAGAAGGGGTACAATTTTTTAAAATTTTGTGACCCCAGACTGTGAAAGTTTATCAGATCACAAGGAGCAGAATCATTACATTCTCATGGTTTTGAGCATGTGATAAGTCCAGGAGACCTCATGCTTCTCTTTCCTAGGACCTTTCCACATATAATTTTAACCCCATTCAATTGACCTGTGTGCCTGATAGTGCCAAGCTCTTTTTACAGCAGCTATCAAACATAACCCCGCCATCTTAGCAGCTCTGGTGCCCAGACCCAGTGTTTTAGAATCGTACAATTTCAATGTAATTGATACGCAGCGCATAATTCTAGGCCTTGGGTGGTGTAAGTGACACTTCATTCATAACCCGACACCCTCTGTTGCAGCGTTGGCCTCTCCCATCGAGTACCAGCGGAACCACATCTCGGGTGGCGGAGGTGGCGGCGCCGGCGTCGGTGGCGGCGTCGGTGGCGGCAGTGGCAACAGTGGCGGTGGCGGCCGCACCAGGCCCTCGCGCATCCCCCAGCCCATTCACCCCGGCCTGCGCTCCCACTCGGCCACGGCCGTGGAGGTAGAGCGGCCGAGTACGGGGCCGCCCGCTACGGGACGCAAGATCTCCATGCCGACGCTCAGCTCGTCAAGCTCGTTCAGCGGCGGCGCCGCCAGCCCCGGCGGCGGTGCGGACAAACACCGCGGAGAGGCGGGAGAGAGGACCTCGCGCTCGGCCGAGCGGGCTCGCAAGGCCGACGGGGCCGCCGAGACGGCGCAGCAGGGCCCAGGCCCAGTGGCCGAGGAAGCCGGCAAGGGCCCGCGCGGCGTCTGCTATCGAGGAGGGGCCGGCGGAAGCGGGGTCGGCGGCGGCTCCTTCCCTTCATCGCCGTACACAAAGGACGGGCGACATCGGGCGGGCGCCGGACGAGACGCCGCCTCTCCCACGCGCCTGACCCACAACCACCCCGCCGCCGGCGCGCTCGACCGGGAAGCGACGGACCGGCTCAGCAGTTGCTCGTCGGCCAGCGATCACTCGCTGCAGTCGGCGCAGAGCAACGGGGTAAGGGTAGGACCGGGGACGGTGGGGTCGGTGGGCTCGGTGGCCCCCAGGGGATACCCACCGCCCCCACCGCCCGCGCGCAGCGCCTGCATCGTGCCGCAGCACCACGCGGGCCACTGACGCTGGGACTGCGTTGACGCCACACGCGGCGTGGAGCGAGGGGCGGGAGTGGGGGGGGGAGTTGCAGCCTGGGGTTAGGGATAGGGCGATTAGACCGCGCGGTTGTTTTAAACTGTGAACTGCGTACGGTTGAACCGTTGCCACGCAGAGACGTTCTGGAAGCTAGGCCAAGCAAGCCGGCCCTGCCTACTAATTGCTCAAAACTCACAGCTGCCAATCCATCTGCTGCCATCTCTGAACTCTTGACTTCTGTGCGACCTCCTGTGATGTCAACGCGGTGACACCAGCCTAATACAGATCCATGCAAGCTAACGGTGCGAACTAACACCTGCTCCGCTCAACTCGGTGTCTTCTTCTGCGGGGTGAGGCTGAGTGGGGGCAAACTGCTGTTCTTTGCAGTGACTAACAGCGTGTGAAACACTCTTCTTGCTCCGTCCCTAACCCATGTTCCTCGCTTCATGTTTGTCCAACAACTCCAGTGTGTAGCACCTCCAGACAGTAGGACGGGACAGACAAAACGACTCTCGCTTTAAAACACAAAGACAAAAAACAAACTCCCACACGTTAATCGAGGAACAAGTTCTTACTTTTTGCCGCTTGTTTAGACTTCTTACAACCCTGCACGTGTTTTGTAATTGTTTGCGCGGTAGTTCACGCTCCAGGGTCACATCAGGCGGAGTGGCACCTGGTTAGTGTTTTTTGCTCTTGGTATTGTAACGTGTAGCATATCCTGTGTTGGTGTGCGTTTTAACGAACATGTTTAGGCGACACGATTACAACTCGGAGAATATTTCCCGCATTCTGGAATAAATAAATAAAATGCTTATCACTTAAATAACAATTATCTTCTTGACGATTTCAGATATCCCGCAACCCACTCACAGTAGGAATCCGTTGTGATTGTACATTTTTCAAGTAAGTTATCGCCAAGACGGGGGGGGAGTCGTTCGTCGCCACGAGACCATCTCCACGCCAGTGTTGAGCATTGCTTGTCCTGTGTCGATGCTGCTTCCGCTGTTAGTGAGGAGACATCGTGAGTGTATTTAAACTATTTATTAATCTCTCCCTTTTTTTTTTTAAACTTTATTTTGATCAATAGCACACCGTTGAAAAATGTGAAAACGTACAGCGGCAATATTGTCCCCACTATATACGTACCGCCATAGCTTTAAGCGCATTTAAAATAAGAGTGGAAACCTTATAGCAACGGGAAATAAAAACAACACTTTGAAGCGTGGAGGGACGATTGCGGCTTTGCGAAGGAATTCCATTACGTATCGAGGCCCGGTCTGAGGCCCAGTGGCTGAGGCTGCACGAGTCTTAATGCCCGGCCATGTATTTAAACACTTGCATTCGCATGGTTGTCGTGTAAGTCTTAGGACAATAATCACCATTTATTATTGTACATATTCATTGAGTTGTATTAATTAATGTTTTTAAAATGGTCTGCATTATTTATAATATTCCAATGATAACTCCTGTATCATGTAGAGTGTCATGGCTGCACCATACTTGCTCTCTCCTCCATTATCCTGCATCCCTCACCACCAGTCCCCTTGCACCCTCCTTTTATCTCCCCTCCTCACCTGCTTCCTCCTCAGATCGCGACCTCTTCCCCTCTCTCCAGTCCCATCTGTCTGATCGTTTTTGTTACAATCTCAATCAAACTCAGTTCTGTTAACCGTCTTCTTAACTAACCTCAAACCTCACACACTCCTACTTCCACCATCTCCTTATCTTTTCCCTCTGGGATTTTCCCTCGCCTCTGCTCCTCCAGTTTCTCCATGTCATCACACTCTTCTCCATAATTTTCAACCAGATGGCGAGGGCAGCACATCCAGGTGTTGGGGGGGGGGGAGCACAAATCGATTTGATCTTGGCTCTCACGATTTAATTTCCGCATGAAGCCACCTGTACGGGTGATGAAGCGAACACTTCATAACCCGAGCGATTACGTCGCTTAACGAGCGCTCTTCTCTTGCTTGCAGCGGACACAGTGGTGAAAACTTCCTGACCTGGAGTGCTGCCCCGCACATCTCCGCACCTCTACTAACTCGGACTCTCACAGTCACAACCACCTCTTCTCCTCCTCCACGCTTTCCCCCCCCCCCATGCCTGTCCCCGTTAGTGTCTCGCTGTGCCTTCTCTAAGCGGATGTAGTTCGTTAGGGATGTTTGTGCCCCTCTCCCCCCCAGCTCTGCCCCTAGTAGGCGCTGTGTACAACTGCTTTCGACCCATGTCTGCCCTCAACATCGTCATCATCATCTCTGATTTATAATAAAATGTCAAGTGGTCTCTGAGACTGTGCAGGCTCTGCTACGTTTCTGCGCATCACGCAAATCACACGAGATCGGTATTTCACGCGACTGCTGGAGCAGCACACTGTTGCTCGGAAGATGTGCACAATATATACAGGATAGGCACATAATGATTCACCATTTAATACATTGTAATGTATTTCCTAAGCTCGTCAAACACGCATTGAATCGTGCGTGTGAAAATCGGTTGTTTAGAATTGTATAACAATGATATGCGAATGCTAAATATAGGATAATGAAACAAAGAGCTTTCCAAATGACCTGGAACTAAATTTTGATTTAAAGCTTTCGTGACTGCAGGGATTCATATTCTTGGTTCTTTCGGTAAAGTCACGTATAAGGGAAACAATTAAATAATTGTTTTATATTTTTATTATTTCATTGTTTCCCTTATACGTGACTTTACCGAAAGAACCAAGAATATGAAGGACCTGGAACTAAATGAGAAACAATTCTCATGATATTGTAAAAGCGAGACAAAATCCACTATTAACTCTGGAATCAAATGTTGACGCCAATTCCTGATTATTAGTAACATTTGTTGCAGGGCGAATCGTTACATGCCAAATGTACATTGTGTGTGTGTAAGTGCGTGTGTGTGTGTACGTATGTGTGTGTACGTATGCACATGGCATTGTAAAACAAATTGTTGCTGAGTTAGGGAATGTACAAAAATGAGTTGGCAACATTTCTAAAAAATTCTTATGAATGGGAAAGATTAATAGATTTTAAATGAGATAATTTACCAAACTGTAATGTGTCGATGGATATTCCATCTGTAAAAAATTTCCAGTTGAACTTTTAAATATTTTCTTTCCATGCAGGGCAACATGAATAATACGTATGCTAATTTACGTTTAATGTCTATGGCGGCAACAATTTATTTTTGCGTAGGTGCTAAGCCCTCTGGGATTTGGTATCTCTGAGCCAACTTGCATCGTCACTGTCTGTAGCAGTACTAACCCTATCTGTAGCCCTAACTCTCATTGGCCAAGCTTTCAGAAGAAACCCAATTGAGGATGTGCATGTCTATATATACGGTATTTTACTTAAAACTGCTGTGATTTGGTCAAATGCTGACAGCAGCCATTGCAAACCTATCTTACAAGTGTCGATGCTACTGAATAAAGACACTACAATAGAGTTACACGGAGAGGTAAATAATTATAAATGAAGAGGATTTAGGATCACAAGTACTACATTAGGCTCGTACTAAATTATCATGTATTTAACGGTCACATAACAGAACATCCACTTAGATTTGTCTGTATACTGAGAAATGCGTATTTCTTTATCAAAACGTTCCCAACATCACGCATATCACCATTAATCCAGGAAAGGCTCTCTTGAGCCTCAAGACTTTCTCTCCAGATGTGTCCATATTGGGATATATATGGGGCCTATTCAATGACATCTTAAGCAGTGTTTTGCATTGAGGGAAACTGAGCTTCAAATAACCCTCACAAAGGATAAACACTGAAACGTTCACAAAGATGGGATCATGACCACCTCTGCTTCACTACCATTCACTGGCCACCTTGCATCCCAGAAAAAATTGAGAGTAATGTAAATCTACGTTATCCACCAATGGCTTGCCTCCAAAGTGATGTATTTCAGACGTACAGCACTATGCCCACCACATGTATAAATATAGGGTATGTGAAATCCAATTGTACGATTAAACAGGAAGCTGACCTTTCCACTTTCACAGCACACAAACACAAAGGTGGCATTTACACATCTACTGGGTAAATTTCATCAAACACCTATTGGGCAAATATTTATATCAGAAGAGTCTGAAAGTGTTCAACATATAAGTCGGCTATTGTCAGTGGGGAGTTTGAGATGAGCCCATTGTGGACGTAGGAATGCCATGTTTTGCCGCAGTTAAAGTTAGAGGGACACCGAGCGAGTGACCAATGGGAGGCTTTTGCCGGGCGTGCCCACCCATCAGTGTGCGCCACCTTCCGGCATGTGTGATGGTCCACGAGGAGGTGGTCGGTCTCGGTGGCCCCGTCAGAAGAGAGAGAGGGGTAGGGGGCATTGCCCAGGATGACCTATGCTCTGTGCCCGAGGTACAGCGTCAAAGCTCTAATTTCAGTGGCTCCTCCAACAGCCACGAGCAGTATCTTCTCTGGAAAGTGGCACGTACGTGGTGGTTCAGACTCGGTAAACGTGGATCGTTGGGCCAACATGGCCCAACGGTTGCAGCTACATGCGAACGTTGGACCGACGCTGCACGTTTACTGGCAGGGAGTGGCCCATGGTCCCTTTAAGCAAAACATGGGAGGCATGTTGACAGTCGTGTTGTCAATGTGGAATTTGACCGCCCGTGTTCACGTGATGTTTCAAGTAAATAAATCGGACCAGATAAAATGTTTCGCGTTTAGATCCTCGGTGAGCAAAGCTGGCTTATTTCATCAGCTGCCAGTGTTTACATCTCGAGTTAGTGCGTGATGTTTCATCGCAACCACAAACATTTTGGGAGTGCATTTTTACTCATGTGAATGCCACTGTACACTTCATATATATTTTATGAGTTAGATATTTAATTTGGTTCCTACGTGTTACTTATATACAACAAATTTTGCCAACCTCAGGCAAAAACACAAGTACTCGTGGGCTCTGATAACGGCACATTAAAGGAAAAAGAATAAAACAGGATTTTGTCGTCTTTTCCTGGGAGGCTATGAAAAAATTCAAAATGTAGACTGGCTGACTTTCTTCAGGGAAACAGAGGTGAGTCTTAAATTTGCTGGGATTTGGGATGCAATCAAGTGGGGGACACTTTCAGCCCAGAATTGATTAGAATCTGATGTGTGCAAATGTTTATTTCATTGAATTATCCGTGCAAAGAATATATTTTTTCCAGATGACTGCCATGGTTTGGGCAGATGGGTTGATAACCAGGTGATAACTCAGGATACAAGAGGTATCTGGGTCATAATCACAAAAGCAATAAAATAAAAACAAGTCAAACAATGAAGCAAATATGAATAGCAAAAAACAACCAAAGAGAATTTAGAGCAAAAACAGCCACGGTACATAAATTTAAAACAAATATTACTTTAAAAACTCCACACACTTTAAACATGATAATAGATTTTCCCCTTTTTACTGGCAACAAAACAGCTGTGTTAAGATGTTAAAACACCAAACTGAAACCTTTTACAAGGAATCATGTCTGCATTAACCACAATATTTGTGGTCAGAATGCAAACAAAAAACGCGTCTGCCACTGTGGCCTGTGCCGTGCACACGGTCACACCACCCCCATTATCCGTGCAGCTGGGTTTTAACATTCAAGCGTGCGCGCTTGTTACCCATCCTCTGGACGGAATTCGCTGGTTGCTCCGTGACGGCCGGCCTTCGCGTGCGTCCGAGCGTTTCGGCCGTCACCTTTCTCTCTCTCTCTCTCTCTCCGTAGTCGCAGGGCGAGGAGGGGGGTGGTGGCGCAGCCGCCGCGGGATGCTCCGGCGGGGTGGGGGCCACCATGCTGGTGACGCAGGACTACGCGGCGGTGCGGGAGGACGAGGTGTCGCTGGCGCGGGGCGAAACCGTGCAGGTGCTCGCCACCAACCAGCAGCACATGTTCCTGGTGCACCGCGGTGCCAGCGAGCAGGGCCCCGCGGCCGAGGGCTGGATCCCCGCACACGTTCTGGGCCACACCAGCACGGGGGGGCCGTCGTCGACCGCCTCGCTCGACTCGCCGGAGGCCGTCGCGGCGGATCGGTGAGAGCAGCGTGGGTTATGACCCCCCACCCCCACCCCCCGCCAATGCGGCACGCCGTGGCACAAGGAAGTCGAAGGGAGATTGAGAGAGATTGGATTTTGATTGAGTTTTGTTGGAAAAGGTTTTTAGTGGATGGTGGGGGGGGGGGGAATTTTATTGCACCACCGCCACAGAGCGAGAGCTTTTAAGTCTATTCAAATTGCACAATTTCAAATGGTGCAGTGCTCGATTCGTGCGCAATTAGAGTATAATTGGCGCACAATGCATGCTGCACTGCCGACGTCGTCTCCACACGGGTGAGCGCATAACTTGTGCATTTCTCACTCGATCGAGGAGCGACAGTGATGAACACTGCGACAGCGACGTATTCTTGCTGGTTACGTCACTTTGCGTGGTTAGACCGAGTATATATGTATTGGACGATAATAACGCCCGGATGGAAACAATTTCGCCCAGAGAAAAACTGGCTTTACCGGGTGAGCAGACCAACCCTCAAGGGAGCGAGGCCACACAATCACGGCTGCACTGCGATCTCGTGCGCTGAGCCGGTTAGAGGAGTGCTGGTAGGGGTGGGGGGGGTGCTCTTGACCGCTCGGTTTGCGTCTCCGCGTGCTTCGGGCGGTCCAGGAAGGCCAGCTCGTGGCACTCGGCCCTGCGCTTTAAGAAGCGAGGAGTGGTGAGGGACAAGGACGGACCAAGGCATGAGAACGGGCCGCGTCGAGCACGGGAGGCCAACATGCCGAGCGGGAAGGTGTCCGTGAAGGTGGGGGGGATGAAACCATCTCACTCGCCGACCTGCCCACTCTACTCCCTGGTCACACAAACTCCTGTTTGGTTCATGAAACATCCACTTGCCCGCACACATAATCACGTACACAACCCACTCACTCAACCTCTTGCACACACAACCACTCAGCCACTAAATTGACCCATTCCTCACAAACTCACTCCATCTATTCTGGCTCTCGACCACACACGTGTACAAACTGCCTAGCTCCACACACAACCACCCATTCACTTAACCACCTACTTACTCATTCTTCAATCACTCACTGAGCTAGCTCCTCAGCATGTACTCTCGTACACAACAATAATGTGCAAACTCAGTCACTCGCTCACAACATCACCTACTCGCACGCAATTACTCATCCACTCACTGAACTATCTACAAACACAACCACCTGTTCGCGCACACAACCATTCGCTCAACCTTGCATACACAACCACCCCTTACACTGAGAACATCCTACTTGTATACACAACGGCCTACTGACACAACCACGCAGTCAATCAACAGAAGCCACCTTACCCACTCACCTACTCTACACTCACCACTCTTCCACTCACTTGTCAGAGTCGCTGACTCCCATAAGCACCTGATATTATTCATTCACTTAGGATGTACTCGCTATCTAAACAAGAATAATGTATAAACTCAATTACCTTGACCACTGTCGTTTGTGACATTGAGCTCACACCTGCTGTGGTTTAGCTCTGTGAGTGGAGAACCTCATTTGTCATATTTGTCATTGCAGCTTCAGAACCAAAAGGTGGCCCATGAAGGTATGTTGAATACAAGATATGTTATACTAAAATAAATGCAATAGTCTGCTATAATAACTTAAAACAGCAACACTTGTAGAGATTGGACTCTCACTTGGGTAAAGGAGATTAACAGGTCATGCGCCGTCTCTAAAAGATACATTTTAGTTGGTTCTAGTCGTTCAAGATTATTTTTAACCAGGTGAGAACTCTGCGCCCAACCCTATAGAAAAGGTACGTGGATGACACTTTTGTCATCTGGCCACATGGCCGGCCTGCTCTAGACCAATTCTTCGACCACATCAATTCCATACACCCAGCCATCAGATTTACCATGGAAGTCGAAATAGATGGCAAGATACCTTTTTTGGATGTCCTAATTAAAAAGAGACCTGATGGTTCAATGAGCCACTCTGTCTACAGGAAAGCTACCCATACGGATGCTTATCTGAAACCGGATTCCCACCACCATCCATCACAGAAGAATTCTCTCATCAAGACTCTGTATCATAGAGCCCAATGCATATCCGACCAGAAACACATAAGCAGTGAACTCAAGCACGTACACCAAGCTCTTAGGGCTAATGGTTACTCCGACTATACAATCCGCAAAGCTATCACTCAAACCATGAAGAAGAACCCTCTTGAGGAGCCTTTCAAAACCATCACTTTACCCTACATTGCGGGGATCACAAAAAAGATCTCCAAAATCTTGAATAAACACAAGATCCAGGTCCGTTTCAACACATTACATAAAATCCGTGATCTGGTTCCGTCTGTAAAAGATGTGATTCCGGACATACAATACCCTGGTGTCTACAAACTAAGTTGCCTCTGTGGTAGTAGTTACATTGGAGAAACCAAACGCCATGTCTCGGACCGAATTCGTGAATACAAAGCAGACCTTAAACACGGTAGGACCAACACCTCGGCCGTGGCAGATCATTGTTCTAATTCAGTACATGCCATTGACTTTTCCAAGACAGAGGTTCTTTGTAAGCCATCTGGCTTCCATGAGAGATTCGTTCATGAGGCTATCCACATATACAAGCACAGAGACAATTTCAACCGAGAAGATGGATTCTATCTTAGCAATCATTGGAAAGATTTGATAAACCATTTCAGGTCTTAATTGATTGTTCACGCTTACAGTGGCTTTCAGACAGCATACATTATAAAAAAAATCGTCTCCCCCCTCCTCTTTTCAGAATATAGATGGACTAGTCCTAAATAAACTGCCAAATCGTTGCGCGTGGCGCTAACGTTTTTATAAATAAATAAATGCGCCGTTTAAAAATAAATTTATGCAAACCAACACACCTGAAGACGACCGTTTGAGTTATGGTCGAAACGTCGTGAGAATTTTGTATTGTTTTATATATATTTTATTATTTTGTTGTTTCCCTTCAACGTGACTTTACCGAAAAAACTAAGAATATGAATTACTGCAGTCACGAAAGCTTTAAATCAAAATTCAGGTGAGAACTGTCGAGAACGGGATTGTCCCATTTACACGAGTGACCTGAGTCACCTAAAATGACAAAAGCAAAACGGATAAAATAAAGTGCAGCAATGTAGCAAATAAAAAGCAACTGTGGTCACACTCAAAATGGAAAATTGCGCGAACATAAATCCAGTGTTCAACAATAAATTCCCTCGCGTTAAGTCGGCTCCAGCATATTTATTTGACCAGGTAAAGCCCACCGAGCTACATAGCTCTTTTTCAGACGCGACCTGGCCACGAATGACAGCTCGACAAAGAGGCTTGTCACGTGGAAACGTATCGCAGCCCAGATGCTCTAAAACGCACGTTTCTCAACGTGGAAGGAAAAATCGGAGGACCCGGGAAAAAAAAAATCCACACGACCACGGTAGAGGAAAAATTCCAAATAGAATTCGTCGGGATCGGGATGGAACCCACGACCGACCTGTACAATCAGGCGAGGTAGTTAACATCTCGCCGCAACTGATCAGAGCGCGATTGTCTGTGCGCGCCGCTGCGGCGATGCAGCGGCTCCGCAGGTGGTGGCCCCGCTGCTGGACGTGGTTTGTGCCGCCGGCTCCGAGGCGGCGTTCCGCTGCACAGTGCGCGGCGACCCGGCCGTGCCGGCCACGTGGACGGGGCCTGCGGGGGAAGCCCTCGCCACCGGGGGGCGCTTCGTCGTGCACAGCGGGTGAGGCTGGCCAGCGCGTCGCTCATTCCGCCCGTCCAGGCCGCACGTCTGTTTCCACGCACTCGTCTCTTTGTGTTGCTGACGTGTCTCGTCTTCGATCTACCATCCATACATCTGTACATCCGTTCGCGCCGTAATCATCTTCTATCCACTGCTATATGAAGGCTTTCGATTAGCACGGTTGGCTGCATTACGGTGTGAAAGAGGTTCAACATAATACATTTCCAAAGCCATAATAGCTCACGGCCATGCCATGCATCAACCCGCTTAGCACCTGCGCTGATTTTATCTCTCCATCTTGGCCGGTGGACGTCCTCTCGAGAGTCTTCCTTTTCTTGTATGTAAAAATCAGCACCGGGGAGACAGAGACAGCCAGGCGTAGTGCTGGCTATCCACCCCCTCACCTCGTGTAGCGTGCCGGCACTTCATAGGTACTCACAAAACAGCACTTGTCCCAAAAGTTATACGGGCGGGATCCTTTGTGCGTGTGTGTGTACATGCAGCGAGGGCGGGGAGCGCTGCTTGCGGATCTGCGGCGTGTGCGAGCAGGATGCCGGCAAGTACACGTGCGGGCTCGGCACCGCCACCACCGCTGCCACGCTCACCGTGCAAGGTAACTCATCGCACCACCCCAATCGCCGCAGGGCGCGGGCGTGCGAGTGTGATGTATACATGCATGACAGCGTGCGGATTGGCCAAGCCCATCTTCAGCGACTGAGAGGTGGGGTTTGCCGAATCACATCGGGGTTGCAGCGGTGTGGTGTGCGAGGTACCCAGCTACGTGACAGCGAGCTTTCTGTAAGAAAGCAGTAGAGCAAACAGGTTTATGACAAGCTGTTCTGAAGCTTGGATAATGCAGAAGGACTATAGGCAGATGGGCTGATACATATGTATGTTGATCTTGTTTAGCACCGTGCGTAGCCAACCGTGCTAATCGGAGGTGCAGGAATTTTAGTTTTACTTGGAGAGACTAATATAAGTCTGGTTAGTCACTATAGAGATGCGTTTCCCGGGTATGCCATTGCCTGCGAGCATCTGCCTCTACCCGTGCACCTTCTTCCAACTGTTCCAGGTGTGTCGGGTGCCCCAGGCCGGCCCCAGGTGCAGGAGGTGAGCAGCACGTCCGTGCTGCTCACCTGGGAGTCGGCGGGGCCACTGGGCCCTCCAAGTCGGTCGGCTGGCACGGACTGCTCCCCTCCTCCTGCGACTCCCCCCACCGGCTACACCGTCGAGTTCCAGGCCGAGGGTGAGCACACCCCGCTTGGACGTCACTGACAATGACCGATTCATATTCACTGCGTGGCTGAAGACCTTCCTCCACGAGGCTGTGCTGTTAACCTATTTGCAGCAATGCAGAACATGTGTTTTTTTCTGATGAAAATTTAAGCAGTTTGCCTTGCCACAAAGCATTGTGCTGCTTGTGAGATACCCTTGTCCTAATATGTTGCACTATTTTAATCATGATTAATTCAAAATATTTTACGGCCCGTTGTCAATCCCCTGTGAGATGAAGGCCTTCCCACTCGTAGGAGGTCATACGGGTTGTGAAGGGCATCCCAGAACCAGTTTAGCTATCGCTCGCCACTGACGTTAGACATGACCAGGAATCAAACTCAAAGACGCCGAGCTCTTATCACAGTACGCCAACCACTTCCTCGACAAACCATTCATTGTTATGTGCCTGGTTAATTATGTTGTCATGTCTGTGTGTGTATGCGCTTGCTTGCGTATGCTGTCTCTGGATCAGGGGAGAGCGGCTGGCAGAAGTGTGTGACCGCCTCGGCCGAGCCCGGACTGCTGCTGGACGAGTTGGTGCCGGGGTCCACCTACTGCTTCCGCGTTGGCGCGAGCTACACGTGGGGCAGCGGCCCGCTCGGCGCCATCTCCCAGCCCGTCGCTCTGCCCTCCCTTGCTCGTGAGCAAATTTCGAGGCCTTGCACCCTTACCGAACCAACCTCACCCCCGCGCCTGCTGGATGACCGCTCTTTCTGTGCTGGACTTCCCCGGAGATAATCTCCACCAAAGTGCTGCTGACTCCGAGGTCACTGGATGACTCGAGAGAATTTGCTTTTATTTTAGTGTATTGCACCTCTCGTTTATCTTGTCCACGCGCAATTGGGCGGTGATCTCGTCCAGCGGTAGCGCATTCACCGCTTGCTCCAGATTCCTGGTTCGAATCTGGCAAGCTGCCCTGGTAAATAATATGTATTAACCATAGAATGTGCAATGTCTGCTTCACAGTGGATGTTAAAGATCCCGTGATGCAATGTGAAGAAGGACATAGGCCATCGTGTGCTGTCGTTATGGTCAAAATTTGAAAGGTTACTCAGTTGACTTTATTGGTAAATAAATACAGCAATTGTCGCCCCCTACTGTGAACAGCTTAACATGATCCTCATGAAATTGTCTTGGAACTCGGTGATGCTCTCCTGGGTGAACAAGCGTAATCGTAAAGATATTGCAGTACAATTTTGGAACGTGTTCTGCAGCTGCCCAAAAAGGATGGAGGAAGCAGCTTCCACAAACACTGAGCACCTAATTTGTCCACAGACATAACAGGTAGCATTGCCACAATTATTTAGTGTCCATTAATTATGCTGACATTTCTCTGGCACAATAGATTGTGATTGTCCGCACCTTTCAGAGCTGTCATATTTGTAGGTGGCCAGTGCCCGAGACGGACCAATAGGGGGCGTGATAGGGGCTAGATTGCAACATTGTTTAACATTAAGATTTCTATTTCTTGAGGTTTGCCACTTTCAGTGCGAGAACCCTGAATGCATGAACCTTGAGAGCTTTTACTTGTGTGGGTCGCAGCCGAGTTTGACCCCTGTCAATTATCTTTGCTATTAATCCTGTAGATAAATCATCACCATCATGGTGGCTTTCAACTTCGTATTCTCAAACTTCAAATGCACGTAAAAATATATTGTAAAGTATGGTAAAACGTAATCAACGAATAATTAAACTTGTCTTTCGCCATTTAACGTAATCGGCGATGCAGCTAGTGTTCTGGGAATATTTTCAATCGGATTGTATATTGCAGTCGTGGATTCTGCCGACTGAACACATGCTGCTGGGAGAAAGGGAAGGTGAGCGTTCTCACCCCAGGTCACGAAATGGTTTTATTGCAGATTCTGAGAACGAGGACATGCAAATTGAATTCAAGGAGAACTTCGAGTCGTGCTTTGTGGAGCTGTCCGAAATTGGCAGGTTGGTATCTCTTAAAACATCAATCTCTTGCAGTGCCTTGTTTGCTAATGCTGCATCAGTTATGTCAGCAGCAGCACTTGGTACTAATGTGCCAGTTTGTGAGGGTTTCACAGGTTTTCCTCGTAATAAGAGAGGTATTTTCCATCTCCCAAAAGGTTCTTACATGGATTATAATCGTATCAATCAGTCACTCAAACCAAACTGATTGCTGTGCTGTACTCATTCTAATGATGACAGTACATTAGACATGGTATGTTTTATGCCTTAGTAATCCAGAAACGATGCCTTGGATGCAGTATATCTTGAGACACCAAACCTGAGATGATTACAAAGGAAGTGATTGCAGACCAAATGCAAATTTTAAAAACAACATAGCATAGATAATATACACAACAAATAGGAAAGCTGATCTGTACTTGAGACTACTCCCAATGCTGGATCTCACAATATAGCAGCCTTTAGATGCGACCACATTTAGACGCTACGTCAATAAAAAGACGTGCCACATATACTTATAGTCCCTCGCCACTCGCCTGACTCCAGGTGAGGAAACTCGCCAAAGGCGCATTGAATAGTTGGCATTGTGGAAAGCGGCTTTGTGAATTGAAGGGCCATGTGCGTGGATCTCCCTACCCACTCTCCTTCCCGCTTGGGGGGACGCGGCCACCACAGGGGCCGCTTCTCGACGGTGCGGCGCTGCCGGAGCGTGGCGGGTGGTGGCGGGGACGGCGGTGACACGGAGCCGGAGCTCGCGGTGAAGGTGATCGGCAAGCAGCTGCGTGGGCGGGACGAGGTGTGCCGCGAGGCGTGCGTGCTGCGCTCGCTCTCCCACCCGCAGGTGCCCCGGCTCCTGCACGCCTTCGAGGGACCGGCCGCCTTCATGCTCGTGCAGGAGCTGTGAGTGATCGCACGCCCGCCAACCACCCCCCCTCCAATCGCCGCTCCTAAGCTGCGGCTACATTCCAGGTTCACTTAATTGGCAAGTGCACAGAAGAACCCCTGCCCAGTTTCGATTTACCCCCGCAAACAGCGGTATGTCTTGAACCACATCAGAACATCGCTCGGCAGATATAAAGCTACCTCCCGCACGAATAGACAATTACGAAGTGCACCCAGTGACTGGTCAACAACCTCAAACCTTGGACCACATGGTAACACCACTGCACGCTTCGATCATGTATGGGTCTGTATGCGAGACTATGGGTGTGTATATGTGCGTTTATGGGTCTATATAAGTCTGTACCTCAAACAATGGACCACATAGTAGCACCACTGCCTGCTTCCATCAATTGCTGGCAGCATTTCACATTCACCAGGCTACAGCTGGAGTCCATCTTCCTGGCTCACACACCAACCTCAACATGAATATAGAAACATTACTGATCAACCTCCCACCGTACAAAATAATAATATACCAGGTCCAAATGTGTTTCAGTGTGTTAAGAGTGTGATTGTTGTATTTGGTGCTTATGTATGTTGCTAGCTCTGTGGGGAGCGGTGGTGTAGTGGTTAGCGCGCTTCGCTACAAACCGGGTGACCTGAGTTTGATTCCTGCTCACGGCGAACACCAGTGATGATTATTTGAACCGGTCCTGGGTCTCCCCTAGGTCGACTCGGCCTTAAATGAGTATCTTGTGCGGTGTGTAAACATCCCCACCTGGGAGACAAAGGCGGCCGGGCGTTGTGCTGGCCACCCACCCCGTGTGCCGTGCCGACCTTTCAAAGGTGCTCACCAACAGCACTTGTCCCAACAGTCTGTTAAGGTTATACGGGGGATATTTGCCTTTGTTGAAAGCTCTGTGTGATTGGAGATGCATGCGCGCTGCCCGCGGACGTGCAGTGTGGAGGGGCCCCGCCTGCTCGACTACCTGGTGAAGCAGGGGTTGGCGACAGAGCGGAAGGTGGCTGGCTATGTGCGCGACACGCTGGGCATCCTGTGCTACCTACACTCGTGCAACGTGGCTCACCTGGATGTCAAGGTGACGCCGATGCCCACTCGCATTGCCTTTCACGTAATCACGCGATGAAATCTCCCTGAATGCACCAGATCTTTTCAGATGTCGTAAGCCAAGCATTGTTGTGCCGGTGCTTGGATAGAAACTGCCTGGTAATACCCGGTGTTGTAGGTTTTGGCTGTGAAAAAAACCAGGTGACTTTTCTTAGATGTGAGATCTGGGATAAATGAAAAACATGCAGAATCCACGTATAGAATAAAAAAACTAATAAAAAATGCAAATATAAAATGTCAAAGTTAGCCAGTCACAAAAGCACGTCTAACATATTTGCTATAAATCTTTCAAAAACATGTTAACTCGCAAAATATACCTTTCATATTAAATACGTATTTAACATCCCATTATTGATGCTCTCAATGGGCTCTGAATTAGCTTGGTAACCCTTATTTAGGCCATCTCCATTACATTTCAAACCTCTATTGTTGCACTTATCTGCCTCTAAAACATTTACACTCATAAATGACCAATGAACCATTGTGTGAATACAAACTCCTTAAAGACAATACTTAATGTACAAACACAACTGGCCTTCATGAATAATTAACAGACATTCAGTGCATTCGGTATTCATGCCATCTTATCGTGCAAAGCTATCACAATGCTGCTATGTGTAACAGATCTAGTAGTCTGCCAGTAGGGGGTGATGTTGAATGTCATGCAACAGGATTTGTGCACGATGATAATCGCCATCATCATCATCATCTTGACCTTTAACCCCAATAAATGTATCTCCCGTCCCTCCCGGTGCAGCCTGAGAACCTGCTGCTGGAGTGCCGGGCGTCTCCGCCGTCCGTGCGACTCGTCGATTTTGGCGACTGCCTGCGCGTGTCGCACCAGCGGCGCACGCGCCAGCCGTGCGGCGTGCCCGAGTTCTCTGCGCCAGAACTGGTGCTCGGCGAGAGCGTGGGGCCGGCGGCGGACGTGTGGAGCGTGGGCGTCCTCGCGTACGTCATGCTGAGCGGCGTGTCGCCCTTCCTGGAGGACAGCGCCGAGGAGACCTGTCTCAACATCTCCCGGCTCGACTACTGCTTCCCCGAGCACTACTTCGCCGACGTCAGCGCGCAGGCCAAGGAATTCATCACGGCGCTGCTCCGGGGCAGCCCCGGCAAGCGACCGCGTGCGCAGGCCTGCCTCAAGCAGGCGTGGCTCGCTTCGCCCACGAAGGAGGACCCCCTGCTAGATACATCGCGCCTGGCCTCGTTTGTGGAACGCAGGCAGCACCAGAACGACGCGCGGCCACTCTCCGGCATCAAGGCCCGGCACGGAAAGCCTCCAGTCATAAGACGTTGAATCCAAGGGGCAGCCACCACACCGGTGCTGTGTTCGAGGCATATTGAGTGGTCTAATGTGATAGCGAACTATGAAGTACTCTTTAGCTTATGCACTGGTAGCACTGGGCAGCAGTGTCCATGTTAAAAGGTGCCATGTTTCAGGAAAATAATGTATTTAGCCAACAAGCCATCTTAATCATTTAAACAACAGCATCAACAATAGATACGAGGCCAAGCATTAATGGCCCTGGTATACCTGTTAAATAGCTTTGAATTTAGTTTGGCATAAATGTAATTGTGAATGACGCTGCAGTTTTAGCATGAGGCCATTATCGAGGCCATCGTCGAGGCCAGCGGTTTGCACGATGTCGGCGATTGTGTTTACTGCAGTTAAATGACAAATATTGCCGCATTGGTCTTGAGCCAAGCGATGGGAGGCGACATATATAATGCAGTTGAGTCTCTATCGGTGTCGTTGCTGGCTACAAGGGTTTCCCTCAGGAGTGGGCATGTGTCGGCCCACACAAGGAACTCAGTCCCTTGCCGACCTCTCTCTTGTGTGGTTGTGAGGATTCACGCCTGAAACGGTTTGCCCACGTGGATACCAATTTAACAGCAAACTGCTGTCCTTAATTTAAGCCCTTCAATTTGAATTTACAAATCAGTTAGGCTCAATCATGTTTCAGGAACGCATTAGTGTAGATTTAAAAGTCATGTAATGCTAATGAAATTAGGGTTATTAGATGGTTAGGGTTATACAGAATAGGAATTACTATATTAGGATGTAGGGGATTTAAACCTCATGCCTGTGGTTGTGTGTTAAGGTTGAGTTTATTGGATTACGATTATGGTTACTACTTTTGGATTAGGGCTGTAGGCAGGGTTTAATTCTCACCGAAAATTTTCTGGGTCGCTTGTAGGCAGGGTGGTGGCACGTGATTAGGAGTCGCCATAGCGAGGGGTATACTGGATGTGGTATGCCAGAGGCAGAAATATTTTCTGGTTTGCCGACCTGGACAAACCTGGCAGAAATTAAGCCTTGGTTGTAGTCACTTTTTTTATTTAAGGATGGCAATCTATCCATGGTGTTAAGTTAATGAAACAATAGTTTAAGTTGGAGGATAAAGATGAGTACATTATTAATAATGCCATTGCAGTCATATGGGTTTGGGATTTAGTGATTACAGAATAGGAATTATGATTGTGTATTCTATTAAGGTTTTTAGATGTAGGTTGCGCTTATTATATTGCATAGTTTATATTTAGATGATTGAGGTGGGATTGTGGTAATTATGTTAAGACTGGTTTTGTTCATTGGGTTAGAGGTTAGGGCTAAGTCTGGGGGCCATTTCCTTGATAAGTGATCGGATATGAGGCTTTGGCAGAAAGGGGGCCATGGTTTGGACTGAGGCTCCATCTTAAGCCGGAAGTTGAGCAGTGCACTTGAGTCAGTGGGAATTGATTTTTACTTCATTTATGAAAACCAATCTTTATGCACTTCACCTTTGTTCACATTTAAAGTGCAATGGAGTTTTCATTTAGGTATTTTTTTCATGTTGAAAACAAAACCACTTGTTTTATTTAAAATATGTAAGCGCCAGAATTAATGATTGTGGAGTGTATAGGTTAGGAATGTGAAGATTTATGGCCAGCAGTGGCACAGTCCGTATTTACACCTTCATAAACTGTTTAATCTCCACATAAAATGCTTGTTTGTACCTAAATGCGATTGAAGTGGTTTGCTAGCACGCCACGTGTATATTAGGTCTGTATTATACTGTGTCGTTGTAAATTTTTTACATTTATTTATAATATTGTCTCGTAGCTTAATAATCAAATTCTTATGCCATGCTTGCTTTGTGGCTTCATCAATATTTATACGGTTTGTGTTTGGATTTAATACATTTAGATTTTTTTTGATTGACAAGCGGTTGTTTCGGGGGGGGGGGGGGGGAGAAATGGCGCTTGCTGTTTAAGCTTTACGGATTTGATATTTTGAGAATGGCTGTGTGTGTGTTGGGGCTTGTTTTTTTTATACAAATGTTTCAATTGAGCCAGGTACGCGTGCTCTTGTCACCATGTCCACGTCATCTACTGTATGTTAACGCAATACAGGAGACTTCCCGCTGGTCAGGACCAATTGGACTGTTAACACCAAAAGTGATATGCCGACACAAAGCTAATATGGCGCCTGGGAAAATGCCAGAGGTGGGCCTGATGCTCGAGACTGGTTGGCTACTTAGGGATAAGTATAGGGATAGTGTGCTTGCTCTGTAGCTCTCCAATGTTTTTGGGTTGTACCATGTGTTGTTGGGTTTTATGGCTAACAGTTTTGCTCCACGTGCTGGGAGCTCTATTCTTCAGGAAACATATTTTTTTAACTGAAGAAACTCCATGTACCGTGTGAAACGTCGGACATCATGCGGTACAGCCCAAAAACATAGAGCTATGCTGCACAATTGTGACAACCTAACTGCAGGCAAATATGCTCGCTCCTCGACAGCATTCACTTGTCGTTTCAGTTCTGGTGCTTACAGTGCCTGTGCACTCTTGCTATAGCCAAGAAATCCACATCAGTAGGCATTACAACAAAGAAGTCACATCTCATAACACATATACAGGTTTGTGTACATCAAGCAGGGTGTACGCACACCACAGCTGCAATTTGGTGTGTTTCTCTTCCTGATAATTGAATGTCATTAAGCTCCATATCAAGATACATTCGGGCCTCGTGGCCAGATCCGTGGGAGTCAACTGATCAATTACTAAAGCATGTGTTTACATCACAGCCATCCCAGCCAATCGTAACTGCAGCATTTTGCAATAAAGTTGGTATCATGTTTGAAAGTCATCCAAGTTTCTTCATCCTGTCGTCTGTCCACCCACGGGTACATTTTTCACACACTTATGTCGAATGACATCTTTAGCAGGGAGTACACACAGTTCTTCCAGCCTTGTGGCTATTAAAGGAGATTTGGGCCAAACATATACTCCTTTAGAAGCAGTGTGACGCTCCTGTACGTATTATGAACTCTCACGTGCATGAAACAAGTCCTGGGAAACTTTTTGGCAGTGTTGAATTATATCGGCATGACATTTTAATGGAGGCAAATGCAGTGATCGCTCAAAAAACAAAGTTCATCTTTTGATTGGGACATAATACACCAGCGTATAGTATAGTAGGTTTTGTTGGGTTTCAAGTGGCCAGCAACAAACATCACGGTCAAAGTTGTAATTGAGTCGTGGATGAAGCATTCTTAGTAGAGCAAACCTGACCACAGTAGTATTCAAATCCTGACCACAGTAGTATTCAAATCATCAATGCGTACTTCAGGTATTGATGCTATATGAAGTGTAATTGCAATTTGATGCTACATAGTTTATCCATCACCATGTGTTAAGAGTTTAGCCAGTTGTGGAAATCGCACCTGGGGTGGGCTGTAACTTAGAAACATTCTGAGAACCTGTTGGATTAATCAAGTCCGTTTTAACTGGACCAGTTTACGGAAAGATTCTTTCAAACGAACCCGTGGCTGCAGACACCCACCCACCCACCGGATGTCCACGAAATTAGCGTTCGATAGAGCTGTTGTGATAAGCAAGAGAGTAACGTCGGGAAGCACCCGCGATTTATACGAGTGAGGGCACGTACCTCTGGAGGGGAGACGTCGCGGGAAGCCGGCCCTGCCTGGATGCGCCGGCTCAGAGGCGTTCAGGGGACCCGGATATGAGGGCCCGGGGGCCACTGTCTTGACGTGAGGGCCCGGGGGACACGTGACGCTGGGCCCTGTTCCACTCTGGAGACCGAGCAGGAGGCGTGGCCGGGGGCGGCCAGGGGGCGGAGCTTGGGGGAGGGAGGAGGAGCGGAGGGCGGAGTCCGGCGTGGGAAACGATCGAGGCAGCGGCACGGCGTGGAGCCCTGGAGAGAGAGCGCCTGAAAGGGCTGAGGGATAGGATTACCCCCCCCCTGTAAGGGGTTGAGAGTAGGTTCCCCTTCCTCAGTGTTGCGTTCTAGTGTTGTGTTAAACGTTGTTACCCGAGGCTAGATGTTATGATAAAGTGTGGTGCCTCCCGATTCCTGTGTGTGCCTCGTTGACACACTACATAGGCATTGCTCCCAATGCTCATATTAATATTATTTTTTGTATTTTTAAAAAATATAATCTATACATATAAAGGGGAAATTTGCGAATATGTGTGTCTGTTCAAAATGTTTAGCGTACTTCCCGACATGCAACAAACTTGAAATTTGCCATGTGGGTACTTTCCAGACTGCACACCATTCAAAAATTTCGATTTGAAGCTTTCGTGACTGCAAGGATTCATCTTCTTTGGTTCTTTCGGTAAAGTCACGTAGAATGAGAATAAAATAATAAAATAACAATAAAATTCTCACGACGTTTCGGCCACAACGCAAGCGACCGTCTTCAGGTGAAAGGTACAAAACTGTCGGGACGACAGAGCTTCAATGAACGATGTTAAGATTCGTAGCGACTTTTAAGCTGGTTGGGAGAAGTGAGGCACCTTGACAAAGGGGTTTACATATTAATAGCTGAGGGATTAGCTTGTGACTGGTCACGGAAATGGCTATGTTAAAGTCAAAACCTACACATCCACAGAGGCAACTAGTAATTTAGCATTGAAATAGCTAAGGGATTAGCTTGTGACTGGTCACGGAAATAGATGTTAAAGTAAAGGCCTACACATCCACAAAGAAGACATTCAAAAATTATTTTTAAAAAAATAGGGGGGGCGGCCTGTACGCGGTGACAGCGCGCGATGTCGTCACGCTCGCCTCGTGCACGCGTGAATAGCGCGCTTCCAGCATCTGCGCGATGACGTCACGCCAGCACGAGGCCTCGCAAGCGTCTACGTCATCGCGCGTGCTCCGTCCCGCGCGATTACGTCACGGCACGCACGTGCTCCAGCTGTGTGCGTGATGACGTCATCGTCCACGCACGCCAGGCCGCTTTGAGCGCGCTCTGTTGCCGTCTCTCTGTCACTTGATCTGGTGGCGTTGGGGAGGTAAATGTCCGTGTGTGCGTGTGTCTTTGGTGTGGGCGTGTGTCTTTGGTGTGCGTGTGTCATGCCACTGAGCACGACAGACCCAGCAACAACGCGGGTTCGAATCCCCGGCCACGGATATGGCGACAGCGGGGCGCGTAGTTGTCGCAACTTGTAACCTCCGCTCAGGTTGACTCACGCCTCTCTTGTTGTTACAACCCGACGTGTTGGGTCCGCGGTCCGAGTGTGTTGCACATTTTAGCGTTGGCGGGGTGGAGACGAAGACGGTCTTGGCTCACACATTGCCCCCCCCTACCTCCCTCCCACCGCTCGTGTGCCGCGGTCTGCCGGCAGTAATAGGCGCTCGCTGACAGCAACACGCTTCAACAATGCGCTTATAGGGTACTAGAGCGGGAAGATGTGTAGACGTTTGTCGTGTTACTGAACAAAGATCGCATCACTGCGTACAGTGAGTGAGTTGTTCGCCCGCTGCCAGTGAGGAGTTTTGTGTTTCTCTCGTCTCGACGAGGTCGCCTCGGCATTGAGAACGAGCTTTAAATCTAGATTTGAGAACGAACTCTGCCGTACTAACATCATTTATGGGGGGTTTTGGGGTTGGGTTAGATCGCGTAAATATAAATGTGTCGTTAAAGCCGCCACCACACGACACGCACAATTAGTAAGGTTTGTCACGTAAACAGAACGTGCCAATTCGTTACGAGTACAGCACAACACCGGTGTGTTTGAAGAGCAAATCCGCGACATTTACAATCGACAACCGCGATCTAACCTGCCACAAAACAAACCTGTATTATGGATATTGGTCGCAAAAGCCTACTGCTTGTTAAACTGACTGCCTTTGGGATACAAAGGCGGTCTGACTTGGCGCTTGCTTACAGCACTTTTAGTCCAGCACGGGAAGGGATTTGCGACCTGCACAATCGGCGTTGTTGAAGGTGAATCTGTAGGGTGGACCATTGGTTAAAGTGCTTAACTGATTGAGCGGTTATGCTTAGTGCTTGATTAACTTATTCGATCGCTACGTGGTGGCCTAGTTTAATGGTTGGTTGAGTGATTTTCTTTGTTGCTTGCTCGAGTCGTTTGTTATGATTACGATTGACATGACTTTTGCTTGTTTAGCCTAGAAAAGCCTCACTGAGCCTCGATACTTTTTCAGGAGCGTCCTGCCAAATTTTCATAGCAGGAGGCTTTGGTTGTCATGCGTAATGCATGATTAGTGCTTAATTGGTTGAGTAATTGGTTCAGTGGCTAGTGTTGGTTAATGGAATTGTTGGTTACTCCAGTGGGTGTTTGATGTCTTGCTTAATTGGTCCAGGAATTCGTTTCTGGTTGAATAGGTAATTGAGTGGATTTATGAGCAGGTTTTTTTTTAATTTGGTTCAGTGGTTGAATTGTCAAGTGATTTCATAATTGGTTTGAATTATTTGGCGATAAGATGCTGCATGGGCATTGCTACACAACAACAAAAAGCTAAATTTGCACTCCATTGCAGAAGGGCTACTATATTGCCTGAAACCTTGCCAAGCACATTGTGTTTGTTCCTTGTGAGACCAACGTGTTATTGACGAATGTGTTGAGATTTTTCTTAATTGGTTTCGATTGCTGATGGGCTGGCTACTGTGTATGCGAGGTGGCAGTGATGTGTTTTTTTATTGTTTGATGTACTAGATAGTTAATTAGGCAAACATTTCCAGACGTCTATAAACGTGCGTCCTTTTTACGACAAATTTGGAGATGAAACATTACACGTGTTTTATACAGTGTGTGTGTGCGTCATGTATTGTGAACATTCTATGTATTTATGTGCATGTACGTACTGTAGCTCAGGTAAATACAATAGTAATCATTTACAGCATTCATGAGGAATCATACTTTTCCTCACTGGTGAATGCGGCGCATTGAAGGGGAGGGCTCAAGTTTCGTTCAAATATTACTCACCACTGATGTTAGCCGTGGCCAGGAATCAAACTTAGGTGACCAGATTCATAGCGCAGTGTGCTAATCACTGTGCCACCCTTTGTAATGATGTTAATAAATATATGCACGTTTACACGGTTGTGTGTCTCACGCTCGGTTGTGTATGTATGTATTAAGTAGACGGCCTCAAATATTTGAGTACCTGGTGCTGTGTATAAACATCACCACTCGGGATACAAAGGCGGTCGGGCGTGTGGTTTGCCACTCACCCTCTCGTGTGCCTTGCCGCCTTTGTCTTTGAATGTCTCATGGACGTGTATGAACCCAGCAAACCATGTTCATCGTCTGTCCATGATGCATATCTTTAGCAAGTTGTATTTCATCCTGCAATGAGTACTGCGCCTTTCACATTGTAGTCAACATCAGCAACACGGAGACCAAGGTTGCATTGCCTTGCATGGCTATTGGTGGCACAAATCGCCTTGTGGGCAGCACTGGCCTTTAATAGGCGACAGTTATTGGCTCAGGGGATTTGGTAAAAGGGGAAGATATAACGCCCTGCCTTATCCATAGGATCTTTAAAGCCTGTCAGGCTTATTTTGGGGAGGGATTTGTGTATGTACGTGTGTGTGTTGTTGATAATGATTGCGTGCTTCCCTTTGTGAGAACGGTTGGTGCACCTGTGTTTGGTGCAGCTGTGTTGGGCAGGCGCAGTACTGAAGCAATTGACGGGACCTCAGGGTCCCATCCACTGCCCCGGGGTGGGAAAAACCTTGTAGCGACACGAGTCTTGTTGGCTTACCGACAACAACAAAACTAGTGGTCAATCGATTGGCCTCGTCGAGAGCTACTCGGGGCACTAAGTTTCGTAAAAAGTTGAAAAATTACATAAACACGTTAAATTCACCG